CGCGCTTTCTTAGCTGTGGGCTTCCTGGTAAGGGGGTTTGTAATGGCTTTGTCACCTACCAAACTTAACTGTAGGTTTATTTATTTCATTTTGTAGAGGGACAAAAAGATAAAAGCATCTGTTATAAATAAAAAAGCATCTATCATAAATCTCTCATAAATAAATGCAATCTAGATGGAGCTGCTATAAGGTAGGTGCAAAACTGGTTGGAAAACCGTTCCCAGAGACTAGTTATCAGTGGTTCACAATCATGCTGGAAGGGCATAACGAGTGGGGTCCTACAGGTATCAGTTTTGGGTCCGGTTCTGTTCAATATCTTCATCAATGATTTAGATAATGGAATAGAAAATACACTTATAAAGTTTGCAAAAAGAACAGGAGTACTTGTGGCACCTTAGAGACTAACCAATTTATTTGAGCATAAGCTTTCGTGGGCTACAGCTCACTTCATCGGATGCTTATGCTCAAATAAATATGTTAGTCTCTAAAGTGCCACAAGTACTCCTTTTTGCGAATACAGACTAACACGGCTGCTACTCTGAAACTTACAAAGTTTGTGGACGATACCAAGCTTGGGGGAGGAGGGGGTTCCAAGTGCTTTGGCAGATAGGATTAAAATTCCAAATGATCTGGACAAACTGGAGAAATGGTCTGAAGTAAATAGGATGAAATTCAATATGGACAAAGGCAAAGTACTCCAGGAAGGACCAATCAGTGGCACACGTACAAAGTAGAAAATGACTGCCTAGGAAGAAGTACTGCAGTAAGGGATCTGGGGGTCAGAGTGGACCACAAGCTAAATATGAGTCAACAGTGTAACGCTCTTGCAAAAAAAGTGAATATCATTCTGGAATGTATTAGCAGGAGTGTTGTAAGCAAGACACAAGAAGTAATGCTTCCACTCTACTCCACTCTGATTAGGCCTCAAGTGGAGTATTGTGTCCAGTTCTGGGTGCCACATTTCAGGAAGTATGTGGACAAATTGGAGAAAGTCCAGAGAAGAGCAACAAAAATGATTAAAGGTCTAGAAAACATGACCTATGAGGGAAGATTGAAAAAATTGGGTTTGTTTGGTCTGGAGAAGAGACGACTGAGAGGGGACATGTTCACAGTTTTCGAGTATGTAAAAGGTTGTTACCAGGGGGAGGAAGAAAAATTGTTTTTCTTGACCTCTGAGGTTAACCGTGGAGACACTGTAAAGCTGGCAGAACCACAGTCCTTTGCCTAGGTTGGGATACCCTGTGTCCTGCCCGCCCGCCATAAGAACATGCGTTCAGCACATGTGTAATTTTGCATTTTTCCTGTAAGATACACCACCCACTAATATTAATGATCAGTGAGTTGTGAGTTTTCTGGTGGTATATTACATTGTATCATTTGGGGTATGTATCATAGCAACAGTATGTTAGGTGTAGTGTGTATGTCAGGCCTGACAGGTGTTGCTGCCATAGAGCAGTGAGCCACCTCTGTGTGTCAGCCCCTCATGGAGAATGCCCTGTCAGCAAATCCCTCCCATTTATCTCTAGGAGACTCTAGCTCAAGCCCCTCTGCTGACAGTCCCTGGGGCAGAATATCTCCGGGAGAGAAGACGGGTGTCTCACAGAGGCAGATCCCATAGTGAGATACTTCACAAACAGGTGGTCGACTTCTATGTCATATTCGGTTTCCAGATGGATTTAAAATATATAGCACACTGCACCAGTTTAGTCTTGGGGTGACAGAGGCATAGATGGCAATTGCAAAATCCTCATCCAGATGAAGTTGTCAGAATCTCCTGGCTACACATAAGTGGGAGGAGGTGGATGGGAGCCATCCTGGTAACTTACTACCTGGTCAAACAGCCAGACCCCTGGTTTGGGGGATAGGAGGAATGTGGTGGACATAATTTATGTACATGGACTTCAGCAAGGCTTTTGATACAATCCCACATGACATTCTGATGATAGGTAAGCTGGAGAAATGTGGGTTTGGCAGAACTACCATTAAGTGGATACATAATTGGTTAAAGAACCACAAACAAAGATTAACTATTAATGGGATGATGTCAAATTGGAGGGAGGTCTCAAGTGGGTCCCACAGGGGTCTGTTCTAGGTCCGGTGTTTAACATCTTTATTAATGACCTGGATGTAGGTCTAGAGAGCATCCTGATCAAATTGGCAGATGACAAAAAGCAAGGGGATAGAGCTACAATTCAGAGGGATCTTGATAAATTGGAGAACTGGGCTATAGACAACACAATGAAATTCAACAAAGACAAATGTCAGGTGCTAACTTAAGGAAGAAAAACCAAATGCACCTATACAGAAAGTGGGAAAACTGGCTTGGCAGCAGCAATGCTGAGAAGGATCTGGGAGCGGTGGTGGATCACAACCTCAACATAGTCAGCAGTGCAATGCTGTTGCAAAAAAAGCAAATGCAAGTTTAGGTTGCTTTAACAGAGCAGGTCACGGGAGATGATAGAGTACTACTCAGTGCTGGTTAAGCCTCAGTTGGAGGACTGTCCAATTTTGGTCACCAATGTATAGAAAGGATGTAGAGAAACTGAGGAGGATCCAGAGGCGAGCAACAAAGATGATCAAAGGGATGGAATGCCGGGCATGTGAGCAAAGTTCTGAAGGGACAGGGTACGTTTAGTTTGGAAAAATGGAGATTAAGGGGGGACACGATAGCAGTCTTCAAATATTTGAAAGGCAGCCATAAAAAAAGATGGAGAAAAGTTGTTCTCTCTTGCTACTGTGGGCAGGATAAGAGGCAATGGGTTCAATCCCCATCGCCATGGGGAGGAGATTGGGTTCATTGCTTCTCGTGAAGCCTCAGGGGCACTCCGAGAACCTGCTGCCCCTTCCCTGCTGCAGCTGCTCAGCAGACCCTGCCCCCCCTCCTCCCTCGGCTGCCTGCTGTACTGAGGTGGGGGGAAGAGAATAGCTCCAGCTGCTCAATCAACTGCTTCTCTGCTGGGAGCCCCGGGGAGAACTGGGCAGGGCAGGGCCTTGACTGGCTCTGCCTGAGCCTAGGGCAGCCTCGGGCACCGGATGGCTCCCTGCTCCCACACCAGTGTTCCCTCTAATTTTTACCACACGTGTGCGGAATGAATTTTGTTATGGGCACCAATATGGAGGTGATGTATGACATGATCCTGTTGACACATCACCTCCATATCGGTGCCCACAACAAAATTCATGTGGGGGTGGGGCCAAGGGGTTTGGAGTGTGGGAGGGGGCTCAGGGCTGGGGCAGAGGGTTGGTGTGCGGGGCGGGTGAGGGCTCTGGCGGGGGGGGGCGGGCTCTGGGGTGGGGCCAGGGATGAAGGGTTTGGGGTGCAAGCTGCCCCGGGGCTATGGCAGGGGAGAGGACTCCTGCTAGCTCTCTCTCCCTGCTGCAGTTCTGGGGCTGGGGCTGTGGGGCAGGGCCAGGCTGGGTTTGGTGCCTCTCCTCCCACCGCAGCAGGGCCGGGTTGGGACCAGGGGAGGGGTGCTTCTCCCCTGGCCGTGGCAGGTCTGGGGCTGGGGGAGAGGAATCTCTCCCTGCCGCAGCCTGAGCACCTGCAGGATGCTGTATAGGCAGCTGCGCAGCTTAGAGGGAGCTGAGCCCCACGCAGCTGCTAGGAGAGGTGAGAGCAACCAGCAGTTCTCTTCCCTGCCCCAGGCAGAGCAGCCTGGGGGTTACCCTAACCCGCACTCGGTGGGGACCCCACTCCTGCTGCGGATGGGTGGAGCACAACCTGCAACAGCCACTGCCCCTTCCACTTCTGATGTGCCCCTCTAAACCCCAACATGCCACCTGCACGCAGGACTGTGGGAACGGTGATGTGGGAACATACTGGCTCTATGCCCGCTGGAGACTCCCCTCCCTCAAAGCAGGGGAATCTCCAGCAGGTCTGGCGGGTGTTTCTGCTTTCAATGCTGGCTGCGTGGTATGGATCAGAGGGTCTGCCCCAAAGTGCTGACTGTGGCCCCCTAACCCTTTTGGAATCACGTGTCTGGCCCTGGGGCTATAGGGGGATGACTCTGCTGTTGGCCGATGACCGTGCACCCTGATACTACAGCAATGGGCAGGTACCATAGACGTTTTTAAAAAAGCAAATAAGTGCCCGATACTGTCCCCACTGGAGTTAGTGGGAGTTTCGCTTTCCCCTTGGTTGGAAGCAAGATACACCCTTTAGTCATTCCTGGGACACTGTCAACTTAAACCTCAGGCTTCAGTCTGACCTGGGTTTGTGATGTGTTACCAACATGAGTGCCATGCACACAGGATCCCCGGCACCGAAAGAGATTAGGGAGGGAAAATTCTCTGGTCAGATCTTTGTACAGTTGGTGACACTTTGTGTCTAGCTAGTGTTACTGTTCCCATTCTAGACAGCGAGTCACTTCTCCTGTTTGTGTGGGTCCTTCACACAGCAACGAGGGGTGGGAAACATTTGAAAGCCTAGGAAAGTGGGATTGCAAATCAACAGCAGTTGGCTGGGGACTGACACTACTTTGAAATTTCTGTCTGCAGTCAGCTCGACTTTGAGCCAACAGAGTCCCTTTATTTTGGAGCTGCTGCCAAGTCCCTTTACCTACGGAGGGGCTTGGCAGTAGTAATCATGCTACTTTGCCCCCCTCTGGTGTTTCTCTTTGGAGACTCTCAAAGGTTAAGTGAGTCTCAGCACCCTTCTTTCAGCCAATGAGGTAGGCACCTATTTCCACATGTATTTTGCAGATGGGCAAACTGCAGCCCAGAGGGCATGCCTGGCCCAAGGCTGCCCAGCAAGGCAGCAGGGGGCCTGGGACTAGAGCCCGGAATCCCTGATTGCTTGTGCCTTGTTCTAACCGTTAGACAGTTCTACACCCTGGTATTTGCTATCTGCCGAAGCACAGTTCCCTGGAACTACACCCGAACAGAATCCTGCTGCAGCTCCTGGTGACTCCCCAGAGTGGCTCCCAGCATCACCGTGCCCCTGAGCTATTAGAGAGCGCTCAGCTTCCCTGGGCTCTGTTGAGTAGTTTTGTCTCTTTCAGATGGCGGAACGGAGGCTCCTCGTGCTCTTTGGCAGCCAGACTGGGACAGCTCAAGATACAGCTGAGAGAATTGGCAGGGAAGCCAAGCGGCGCCACTTTCGCTGCCGGGTCGAGGCCCTGGACAGTTACCTTGTGGTGAGTATGGGGGTAAACGGAGAGCTGAGGCCGAGAAGAGCTCTGTGCAGCTTCTACGTTCTTCCCTTGCCCCTGAGTTCCTTTCAGGGTGCGCTGGATAGCACCCCGGCCGCACGGCAGCTGCCTGCCCTCTGACAAGGCCTGTGTGCTGGCCTCCAAGCCCCCTTGCAGGTGCTCAAGCTCTACGCTGCTGCAAAGACTAAGAACTGGTGAAGGCGTGAAACATGCCTTTGGCTGTGTCAGCGCAAATTGGTGCCACCCTGTGTGGCGGTTCAGTGATGAGACAGAACACAGCTTTTTGCAAGCAGGCAGGCTGGTCAGCTGAGATGGGCGTTCTCTGCCCCCCTGCCTTCCACCTTCTCCTTTTATTATATTTCTCCCCCTAAGCATTACACACTGCTACACAAAAGGAATGTGTGACGTTAATTCATATACTTAGTTACCATCCCCTATCTACTACAATCCTGGTTCTCAGGCCTTGAGCCCAGGCTAAGAAAACCTCCCACAGTTGCTGTCCAAACAATCAAGTTCTCATGGTTCATGTCTAGCCCTTGTCCTTGGATAGAGCAATGTGTGCATTGTTTCTAGGAAACAGTCAGGGTGTGCCCCGCCTGTTTCCAGGTGGAATAGCTAAACATTAACCCTTCATCTCCCCGTTTTTTATTTATTGATATTTGGCCATCTCATGGTAGCCGTCAATTTGTTTTGTCATGCTATTTAACTCCCAGACAGACAAGAACATAACCTGGGGAGCTTTCCAGGGCAAAATTTTACAAAATCTTAACAAGGAAAGAATACATTGTACACAGCAGCAGCAAAAAATAAGCCCAATGATTACAAACACAAAATAACCAAAAGCTCAACATCTGCAATATAATCATCTAAAAGGGGTACACTTCTTTTAGGAAATAGCAGGCACAAAAGGCACACAATCATCACCGAATTAGCAGTGATTTGGGCGAGAATCGCCGCAAACAAAGTCTCAGGAGTCTCTGGCTGTTGATCTGCTGCCAGTCTTCGTTGAGCCGCGGCGACCAATGCTTTTACTGCTCCCCATGTCACGGGCTGGCTTGGGACGCTACGCCTCCTCCGTTTCCGTCCCGTCGTTGTCGACTCGGGGGCAACGCGGTCTCCTCCAAGGTCAGCTGAAACTCCGGTATGGGATTCGACAGTCCCTGGTGCCATGCCATGTTGTTTAAGTGCCGGTCGCACACACCGAGCTGGAACCCACAACGGTCCTGCAGGGAGAGACACAGCAGCATATCCCCGACCCCAAGTGATTAGAGGTACTGGGCCCAGCCACTGTGGATCGGGCAGCTGACAGTAATAGACACGTGGTCTTTCCAGTACCTCAGATTTGTGAAAATGCCGATCCGCAGGGGTCTGCTGATCTGCATTCAGTGTTAAATTATTTAAAGTAAACAAGAGGATATGCATTTGTTGTTAAATGTCTCCTAAGGTTCGGAGACGCAGCTCCCCTTGTTTTAATTGTTTATCTAGCAAGGTTTTGAGTGTGCGATTGGCACGTTCAACAATGGCTTGGCCCGTGAAATTATAAGGGATTCCGTGTGTAAGACGGACGTCCCAGCGGGCACAAAAGGTGGAGAGGGCTGCAGAGCAGTAGGCTGGGGCATATCTGTTTTAATTTGGCAGGGGCGACCCATAACAAAAAGGCAGGCCAGCAAATGGTGAATAACTTTGTTAGTGGCTTCCCCACATTGTGGGGAAGCCCAAAAAAAACTTAAATAAATATCAACGGAAACATGTAAAAACAAATACGGGCGGAATTGTGGCACATGAGTAACATCCATCTGCCACAGCTGATTTGCTGCGGTACCTCGGGGGTTAACGGCATAAGAAAAAGTAGGAGCAGCAGCAGCACAGTGGGGGCAGGAAGGAACAATGGAACATGCATGATCAGCAGGAATGTGAAACTGCCGGGCCAAAACAGAGGCAGACTGATGAAAAAAGGCATGGCTTTCAATGGGGTCAGAAAAAAGGGAATTTACCTGACCACGCAACGCGCGACCGCTGCGTGCATTGCCCTCAGTGAGTGGCCCAGGCAGAGGGGAATGACTGCAAATATGAGCAACAAAATAAGGGAAATGACAAGTGGCAAAAAGGTGCTGCAAAAACAAAAACAGGCGAAGGAGGTCTGCATCAACCTGAGGGGTAATAAGGGCAAGGGGTAAATGATCAATTACCTAATAAACATAATAGGTATCCACAATTAAATTAAAGGGACAATCAGCAAAAGGTTGAAAGGCCAAAATAACAGCAGCTAATTCTGAGGGCAAAGGGGGATGGTAAAAAAAAACAATCTTTTAAATCTAACACACAAAGTTGATCGGTTTGAGGAATTAAATTTGGATTTGGCAAGCCAAATTGCAAGGGGCCCATAGGTTGGATGCGTTTATTTATTTCCCTTAAATCATGTAACAGTCGCCAAGCACCCGATTTTTTCTTAATAACAAACACCGGGGTGTTCCAGGGACTAGTGGAGCTCTCCAGTCGCTGTGCTTGCAAATGCTGCTGCACAAGCGAATGAAGTGCTTTTAGCTTTTTTAGAGGGAGGGGTCACTGATCAATCCATACGGGCTCTAAGGATTGCCATACCAAGGGTAAGGCGGAGGGCACGGTGGGTGAGGGAGGGTTTTGGGCCATCAGATGTTAATATCGAGGGTGGTGTCTAACTTTGTAAGTAAATCACGGCCCCAAATATTGAGGTGGACAGGGAGCACAAAAGGGCGGATAGTAGCAAGGGTACGGCCTCCCGGTTTAGAGACTGTGACCCAAGACAAACTTTGGCGCCCAGGTTTACTACCCCCGATCCCCCACAATTCTTTAGAAGGAACCGTAGGCCAACTAACTGGCCACTCCAGATCACGAATCACCATAACGTCAGCTCCAGTGTCCACCAGCCCTGTAAAAGGAACATCATCTAAGAGAAGTGTTAACTGAGGCTTCGAGGGGCGGACTGACATTGTCAGAGCAACAAGTGGAGAAGACGCGCTGTGAGACGGCGAGTGAGACAACGTCGATCCAAAGCCGCCTCCGCCCCGAGTTCGATCCTCGGCAGCTGGCACCTGATAGGGGACTAAAATCAATTGTGCAATTGACCGTCCACGCGGGAGCGACTGTGGAAGATGAGTCCACACCTGAACCTTAATAATGCCAGTGTAATCAGCATCAATGACCCCTGGAATGACAAAAAAGCCCTGTTTCCCAGCATGTGAGCGAGGGAGAACAAGACCTACAAAGCCGGCAGGGAGAGGTCCCGTCACCTGTGTAGGTATGGCACAGACCTCCCCTGGCAGCCGAAAGTCAGTGTCCTCCTGCATGATCAAATCAAGCCCTGCACTTCCAGCAGTCGCCGCCCTCATAGAGTCTACGGATTCCAAGGCAGAGGAGCGATTGCCTGAGTAGGAAACACCCCCGTTTGGCCCTGGGTTCGGGGGGGACCCGTCGTGCGGTTTCCCGACCCGCTACGACACTGATTAGCCCAGTGATAACCTTTCCCACACTTGAGGCACTTCTTTGAGGGTCGGGCTGGTGCCTTAGATGAGCGGCACTCCCGCTGAAAATGACCCTCCTTACCACAGCGGTAACAACGCTTCCCCTCCTTCCCAGTTTTTCTGAGGGCGGCAGCCAGAACTCCAGCCTTGTGGGCTTGTGTGCCAATGTTCTGGCACGCCCGCAGCATGTCTGAGAGCTCTAAAATACCAGAGGCTTGTGCTGCCTGGAGAGCACGGCGGCTATCCTCGTTTGCATTTTCAACTGCCAATTTTAACAGGAGCTCGTGAGCTGCCTCAGTGTTATCCACCTGCCGGAGGATAGCCTCATGCAATCTGTTGGTAAAATCCAAAAAGGACTCTGAGGCACCCTGACGGATACTGACAAAGCTTTTGGTAGGCTTGCCTGAATCCGGGACCTTCTTGAAAGCATGCTGGGCACAGCTGGAAATAATGGGGAAGACGGCCTGAGGGAGTTGAGACTGCATCTGAATAGTAGCAAACGGGCCCTCCCCTACCAATTGCTCATAAATGATACCGTGCGCTGCATGTACCTGAGCTTGGCGTTCTGCCATCTGCCGTTACTCACTAAGCCAAATAACATACTGACTAGGTGATAACATCATGCGCAGCAGCGTTTTCCAATCCTCAGGGATTAGGGAGTACCCAGTACCTATCCCTTCAACGAGACCACGCACAAAGGTGCTAGTCAGGCCAAACTCACGAATTGCTTTCCTCACCTCTCTAACCACCGAGTATGACAAAGTGGTCCAGGTGCCCACGGGGTTGCCCTGGTCATCATTCTGCCAGGTCACCGGGCAAACTGAGACCAGATCAGCCAGCTCCTCCGCTGTAAGATCTGATCGAGCTTTCGCCGCGTGAACCATTTGTTGCACCAGCGAAAGCTTCTGAGCAGATGCAGATGACCCTCCGGGGGGCCCCACGGGGGGAGGGTGATCACACACCGGCTCCGGTGGGGAAGGCCAGGGAGGCGGTGGTAATAGAGGCACTGGGGGCGAAGCAGGGGGAGGGATGGCTGCAGGAGCGAACGGGGGCGGCGGGATCGGCAGCCCCTCTGTTGGTGCTGGAGAGGGCCTTTCCGAGGCGACACGCTGTGTCGCATCGCCAGGAGGGGGGATGGCTGCAGGAGCAGACGGGGGTGGTGAGATCACCAGCCTCGCGAGGGAGGGCCTGTCGGAGGCGACACGCTGTACCACATCGCGGCAGAGGTGCCGGGCATGTAAAGCCTGCACGGGCGCCCGAGGCTCTTTGTGCAATGTCTGGCCCAATCCTTCCCAGTCTGCTAGCTTAAGGCTTCCGGCTTCAGGATACCACGGGCACTTGGCACACACCTCCTGTAGCAGGAGAGTAAGTGCTCGAGCTGGGCAGTCATGCTGAGCCTTACGCAGCAAATACTGCAGCTCATTGCGGTGTTGCACTTGCAAAGCAGAGAGGGAGCTTCCCATACTTACCACAATGAAAAATACTCACCGGGATCCACGAAGCGGATGAGTGACGCGTCTGAAACCCTTGCCGGGCGAGGTGAGTGCTGAGGGCCCCACGTTGGGCGCCAGTTGTGGCGGTTCAGTGATGAGACAGAACACAGCTTTTTGCAAGCAGGCAGGCTGGTCAGCTGAGATGGGCGTTCTCTGCCCCCCCGCCTTCCACCTTCTCCTTTTATTATATTTCTCCCCCTAAGCATTACACACTGCTACACAAAGGAATGTGTGACGTTAATTCATATACTTAGTTACCATCCCCTATCTACTACAATCCTGGTTCTCAGGCCTTGAGCCCAGGCTAAGAAAACCTCCCACAGTTGCTGTCCAAACAATCAAGTTCTCCTGGTTCATGTCTAGCCCTTGTCCTTGGATAGAGCAATGTGTGCATTGCTTCTAGGAAACAGTCAGGGTGTGCCCCGCCTGTTTCCAGGTGGAATAGCTAAACATTAACCCTTCAACCCTGGGTTTACTTACAGCCAGTTTCTACAGGATGAAGAGCATAAGCGTGTCCTGCAGAAACTGGGGGTGTCTGGGGCCAGCATAAGATAAAACAAAGCCACTTGCAAAAACCACAAATGGGTCTTGTTAAAACCTGCTGTTCGTGCTGTGCTGGGTGGGCCGAGAGGCTCTGACAAAGTGCGCCGGGCCCTTCTGAGCACATGGCTGTACTGCATAAACCCAGGCTTTGTTAAAGCTGCTGGATGAGATCCTGCTGTGGGGAGGATCCATCCTCTGCTCACTTGCCTGCCTATTCCCAGAATGCCCTCCCTGCTGGTGTCCTGTGCGGGAGGGCAGCGGGGGGGCGGGCTGGGGTTGTGTGGGAGGGCGTTGTGCATGGCTGTGCAGGGCTGGAGCTGTGTGGGGCTGTGCAGGGGGTCAGTATGTGGATCTGGCTGGGGGGTAGTGTGCGGGGCTGGGACTGTGGGGGGGGGCCTGGCTGGGGATGGTGTGCGGGGCTCAGACTGTGGGGGTGGGTCTGGCCGTGTGGAGGGCTGTAGCTGTGCGGGGGGCAGTGTGTGGAGGGCAGTGTGTAGGACTGGGGCTGTGCGGTGCGGTCTGGCTATGAGAGAGGGGATCCGGTGGATAGGACTGTGGCTGTGTGTGGGGGGGTGGTGTGTGGGTCTGGGGCTGTGCAGGGGTGTGGGGCGGTGGGCGCTGTGCACTGTCTTGTGTAGTTTGCCGGTGGCTGTTGAAGGTTGTTGGCCCTAACCATGTGTGTCCATGTTTGTTGTGCATGCAGGCGCAGCTGATCCAGGAGCTACTGGTGGTATTTGTGTGTGCAACCACCGGCCAAGGGGACCCGCCTGACAACATGAAGGTAGGACGTGCCATTGGCCACGACTCTTCTTTTTGGTGATTGTTTCTACCCCCGGTTTGACTCCTGTGACTGTGTTTCTGCGAGAACCGATTGTTTCCTAAACAGGCAGGCGGCAGCAGGTGGCGCCGGCCTGCAGCGATTTGGGGAGGGCAGGGCGGATGTGAAGGGAGTAGTGGAGGAGTTACGGGGACCAGGAGGGGAGCCAGTGATGGGGATCATGGGGCTACAGATGCCCCCCAGTCCCTGTACTCGGAGCTGCTTTGTCCTTTATCCTGTGGATGTGCCCTCCCATTGAGGGCAGAACCTTGGGGTCCTCATGTGACAATAGTCCTCTCCCAGCCTTTCTTTTGGGAGGCTTCGGGGCTGAGAAGCGTCCGCTACTTCTGCTGGGACATGAATGTGGAAGGGGGTGCGATCTCAGCAGCTTGCTGAGTGATGATGGCCTGGGTTTGTCCTGCTGTCATGGCCAGGCAGGGCTTGCCTTGTGCTTGCCGAGTGCTCCCTGCCAACTGACACCATGGCAAGGCCGGCTGTTGCTTGTTTCCTAGTGTCAGTTTGCTGGATAAACCAGAGAACTCATCATATTCTGCATCTCCAAGGACTCCGCTGAACTGATCGCCCAGCTGAGAGAGACCCCAGTTGATCACGGCCCCGCCCCAGCTGGATTGGGCCCTCAGGGCAGTGCGGGGCAGGAGGGCAGAGCAGCCTGTGGGAAGGGTGCATGTTGGAGCCATGCGATACTTGACTGTGTTTGCTTGTAGAATTTCTGGCGGTTTATCTTCCGAAAGAACCTGCCCCCTGCCTCCCTTTGCCAGATGGACTATGCTGTGCTGGGCCTCGGAGACTCCTCCTATCCCAAGTGAGTGGCTTGTCCCACGGCCCCTTTGCTGTATTACACACTGAGTTCCCATCCAGGCCTGCTGAAAGGTGTTGATCATTCCCTTCCCAGCACTGAGTGCTTTGGGGTGAGGAGAGCTGTTCTGAGACCCTTCGTGTAAATCAACCGGTGATGCTTTAAAAAACGTCTTATTAGAAAAGCTCAAAGTCACTAGCGGGTCGCACGCTTTGCTGGGTCTGTAGGACACCGAGGAGAGGGCAGCCTGTGTCGGGCAAGTGATGTGCCCGGAGAGAGGGCAGCCCGTGCTGTGGGGGGGACAAATGGTGCACCTGAGGAGAAAGCAGCCTGTGCTGTGTGTCAGCTGCACAGCACACCCAGGGAGAGGGCAGCCCATGCCATGCTTCCCTTCTAATTCCCAGCAGCAGAGGTGTGGCTGGAGCCCAGAGGCTCTCTCCTGCGGGACCTGTGTGCAGGCAGGAGAAATGTGGGGAAGGAGCTGTGCATGGGAGCGAGAGCCTGTTTTCTGTGCATTCAAAGGCTGATCGGAGGGTGGGAGATTCTTTTGTATTGACATTAAAAAAATCCTTGAAAACCAGCCAGCCCCTCCCTGGGAGCAAGTCAGATCCTGGGGACGTGCTGCGCACCGGTCCGTCCCCCTCGACTGGGGGAATTCAGTCAGTCGTGTCGGCTCGGCAACAGGTCAGAAACGTGGATGTGGGGCCGAGCAACCAGGGCCATGGGCTATCAGGTTTGTGGGGGGGCTGGGGCAGGAACCAGCCCCACTGCTTCGCTGCCCCAGCAGCAGTGGGATTGCGGGCTCCCAATGGTAAAGCCCCCCCCCACTGTGTCTGTGTCTCTGATTCTTCTTGGCCCAGGTTTAATTTTGTTGCGAAGAAGCTGCACAAGCGGCTGCAGCAACTCGGGGCCAGCCCCATCCTGCCAGTAGCCTTGGGAGACGACCAGCATGACTTGGGGTAAGCTCACTGCCTGGGGGAGGGGCTGCTGTAAGGATCCCCCCTGTGGCTTTGGTCCTCCAGCTGGTGCTGGCTGTGAGTGCTGCAGCCCCAGCTCAGCCTGTAGGGCAAGGCAGCACGCTCTGATTTCCCAGGGCTGGCTCACACCCTGCAACAGCTCTGCTCCTGCCCCTGAAATCTGACTAGCTGCACTCTCTGCTGGTCCAGGCCTGGGTCCTCCCCACAGCTCTGCTTAGTTACCTGTATTCCGCTGCTGTTCATCCCCTCCTGCTCTCCACACACACCTCAGTCCTTTCCTGCAAACCCTGGCTTTCCAGGCCTGGCTGCCTGTTCCCCTCAGTCTCTGCTAATGCTCTGCACACCTGGCCTGCAGCCCATCCCCTCAGTTCTAATCCTGGGTCCCCCCATTCCGTCCCACCTCGCACTGCTGGTTTTCCCATTCCTGACCTGCAGCCCCACCAACTCTTCCAGTCCTGGCCAGACTGCCCCCTTATCCCAGCCAGTCTTGTGGTTTTGTCACACTGGCAGGCTGAAACCTGCTGCACTGATTTTCACCCATGATAGAAGCCAGTTCACGCTGAAGTAAAATCTCACCCTCATGTTCTAACTGGGTCGGCTGTCCTGTCCAGAGGGCACTGATTACTCAAGTGTGCCTACCGAGCATGGGCAGCTGCCGAGACCCTCTACAGAATGTGCACCTAACCCACTGCAGAGCTATCGCCAGGTAACCCAGAGCTCTTGGCCCACGGGAAAGAGCCCCTGCAGCCTTGGTGTTACACCCAGGCTCATTGCATGGGCATGTGTCATTGCTTCAGGGAGCTCATGGGAGGCCGCTGCACTTGGGTCTGAAGAGTCTCCTCTCTGAACTCAGGGCCTGGTTTGAGAGTCCTCCCTAGAATGCTGTCACTGTTCCAGTCTGCCCGTGTGACCCCCTCCCACAGGGACCGGCTAGGCAGCACCTACCTGTCAGGCATCTGTATTGTCACCTCTGCCTACTGCTGCTCCTCCAAGTGGACTACGCGGAGGGCCCAGCCTGGTGACCAGCCCTCCATGCAGGGAGAAGTGAACTGATGTTCAGCGCCAGCGGGGACATCCAAGTTACGTAGCTTCACTGCCACGTGCCATTCCTCGGGCAGTCCCTGTTCAGCTGGGTTGTGGGGGCTGGGAGCAGGCGGCTCGCATCTCTCTGATGCCCCCTCTGGCTGACTGAAGGAACCCCGCTTGCCCCACTGGGGCAGCGTTGTAGGAAGGAGGTTTCTGAAGTTTGGGAGTCACAGGGAAGCAGCAGGACAGGGTCCCAGCAGTCCCCCAGCCCAATGATGCAAGCCCTGCTGAAGTTTGTATTTATCTCCTGCAGGTTGGATGCAGTGGTTGATCCCTGGCTTCTGGACTTGTGGGGAAGGATCCTACCCTTGTACCCTCTGCCTCCTGGCCTTGGCATTATCGGCCCTGATGTCCTGTGAGTACCAAGGGTGGGCGCAGACCATCTACTGCCTTCCAGCCACTGCTGGCTAGGGGAAAGCTGATTGGTTGCACATGGTGCCTTGAATTGCTGCTTTCCCAGGCTGGTCCCTGTGGGCACAGAGCTCTGCCCTGTGTGCTTGGTAGGAAGCTTTCTGCCCTGGTTGCCAGAGTCCCAGACACACCCTGGACGGAGGAGCCTTGCTTCAACCCGTCCAGCACACAGTAGAGAACAAAGGTGTCAGGCTATCTGGAGTGGCTCAGGGACATGAGTACCAATCTCAGGGCAGACTGTCAAGGAGCAGGGCCCACCCCCCCAAACTGGTTGTGAGTTCTATACAGAGATTTCACCAACCAAATGTCAAGTGTGAACTCCTCAGGCACCACAGCAGCCTTAGCATGGAGTCACAGACAGTCCCCTCAGATACTCCAGTCTGTCTTGCCACCCGCGCAAGCCTGCCTTTTTGATAAATGGTCCCTTACACCAAAAATCACAACAATATTCAGGTTAGTCCCAGTCCCAAAGGGCCAGTCACTTACCCAGGTCAATTGCACCTTTAGATCCTGCACCAAAGACAACACTTGTTGCCAATCTTACAATAAATTACAGTGGAACCCCATTTATCCGATCTCATTGGGACCGGTACCAGATTGGATAATCAAAAATTCAGATAACCAGCCTTGCCGCCTGGGGCTGACAGCCTAAGCCCCACCGCCCGGTTTGGTTAATACGGAGAGCTGGATAATGGAGGCTCAGATAAGTGAGGTTCTACTGTACCTAAAGGCTTATTAACTATTAAGAAAAAGGAATGAGAGCGTTATTTACAAGGTTAAAGCAGGTAAATGTGCACACACAAATGAGTTACAGTCTTACGTCTACAGCACAAAATTATTTCGAAATTATTCTATTCGAATTTTTGGAAGTGATTTTATACATTCGGTCTTGTGTGTCCCCACTAAAGCGCGTTAATTCGGTGGAGTGCGTCCACAGTACCGAGGCTAGCATCAAATGTCAGAGCAGTGCACTGTGGGTAGTTATCCCACAGTTCCTGCAGTTCTCGCCGCCCACTGGAATTCTGGGTTAAGCTCCCAGCGAACGATGGGGCAGAAACATTCTTGTGGGTGTTTCTGGGTGTGTGTCGTCAGTCGCTCCTCCCTCTGTGAAAGCTACGGCAGATAATCGTTTCGCTTCTTTTTGGCGTGCAGACGCCATACTGCTTTTAGCAGATGGTGCAGTACGGTGCACCGCTTCTCTCCTGGTACTATGAATCCACCTCACATTTCTTCTCGTCTTTCTACGTAATCTCTGTAAATATCTGCTCTTTCTCTACCTCATCAACTGCTTCCAACTCTGCTTGGCCATCGTGAACCGAGCAGCACGGCTTTCGCCGCCGACTCTGCTCTCCCGCTCTTACCACGCTACCGAGCTTCTCCATGTTGTCTGTCCTGGGCTCCCGCCTCCGTGAAAGCCACAGAAGACAACCATTTCCTGCCTCTTTTCGGTTATCGTGAACCAAACAGCAACTCTTCTGCTGCCACTCTGCTCTCCTACGTTTCGCGCCCTTTTTCCAGGATTACCCGTGCAGGCGCCATAGCGCGGCAAGCATGGAGCCCGCTCAGATCTCCACTGCAGTTTTGACCATTGTAAATACCTCGTGCATTATCCAGCAGCATGTGCAGTACCTGCAAAACCGGGTGAGGAAGCGACAACAGCGTGATTACTATACTGATAAGGACATGAACACAGACGTTTCTAGAAGCATGGCATGTGGTGATTGGGAGATCATGGTGGCGTTGGGCCAGGTTCATGCCGTGGAATGCTGATTCTGGGCCCGGGAAACAATCATAGTGTTGCAGGTATGGGATGATTCCCAGTGGCTGCAAAGCTTTCGTATGCATAGGGCCACTTTCATGGAACTTTGTGACTTGCTATCCCCTGCCCTGAAGCGCAAAGACACCAAAATGAGAGGAGCCCTCACAGTTGAGAAGCAAGTGGCCATAGCCCTGTGGAAGCTTGCAATGCCTGACAGCTACCGGTCAGTCGGGAATCAGTTTGGAGTGTGCAAATCTACTGTGGGGGCTGCTGTGCTGCAAGTAGCCAACGCAATCATTGACCAGCTGCTATCAAGGGTAGTGACTTTTGGAAATGTGCAGACCATTGTGGATGGCTTTACTGCGCTGGCGTTCCCTAACTGCGACGGGATGATACACGGAACTCATATCCCTATCTTGGCCCCGGAACACCGGGGCGACCAGTACGTAAACCACAAGGGGTACTTTTCCATGGTGCTTCAAGCACTGGTGGATCTCAAGGGACATTTCACTGACATCAGTGTGGGATGGCCTGGAAAGATGCATGACACTCACATCTTCAGGAACTCTGGTCTGTTTGAACAGCTGCAGGAAGGGACTTACTTCCCAGACCAGAAAATTACTGTTGGGGATGTTGAAATACCTATAGTTATCCTCCGGGACCCAGCCTACCCGTTAATGCCATGGCTCATGAAGCCGTACGCATGCACCCTGGACAGTAGTAAGGAGCAGTTCAGCTATAGGCTGAGCAAGTGCAGAATGGTGGTAGAATGTGCTTTTGGACGTTTGAAAGCGCGCTGGCGCAATTTACTCAGTTAGATCTCAGCGCAACCAATATTCCAGTTGTAATTGCTGCTTGTTGTGTGCTCCACAATATCTGTGAGAGTAAGGGGGAGATGTTTATGGTGGGTGGGAGGTTGAGGCAACTTGCCTGGAGGCCAGTTTTGCACAGCCAAACAACAGGGCAATTAGAAGAACGCAGCAGGGCGCGCTGCGCATCAGAGAATCTTTGAAAGCCAGTTCCATGACTGGCCAGGGTATGGTCTGACAGTTGTGTTTGTTTCTCTTGAAATTACCCGCCCCCTATATATATGAAAGGAAATAAAGTCACAGTTGTTTAAAAAACGTTCTTTATTATTTGTTTCACAACATATTGAGAGAAATCAGAAGGTAGACCGGGGGAGTGGGGGGTATTGGGTTAAGGAGGTGGAAGAGGAGGGAAGGACAAGTCCAGAAACCAAATCAAAATTTCGGATATGCCAGCTTTCTGCTGCTTTTGTGCAATCCTCTGGGGTTGAGTATATGGGTCCCCGCAGCCTTTCTCCCCCCGCCCCCCGTGTTCTTGGGCGTCTGGGTGTGGAGGCTATGGAACTTGGGGAGGAGGGAGGGCGTTTATACAGGGGCTGCAGCGGCAGTCTGTGGTCTTGCTGCCTTTTCCGCATTAGATCCACCATACAGCGGAGCATGTCAGTTTGCTCCCCCATGAGCTTGACCATACCATCCTGCCTGCTCTCATCGCACGCGTCCCTCCTCTCTTCATGTTAATTTAACGCTTTATGCGACTCCGCAATTATTTTCCTCCGTGCATTCAACTGGGCCCTATCAGTGTGGGAGGACTGCATTTGCTTGGCGAACATGTTGTCCCAAGTCTGTTTTTTCCACCTTCTAATCTGGACCAGCCTCTGGGACGGAGTAGATAGGGGCCGCGTTGAAACATTTGCACCTGCGGAAGGAGAAAAAGGGAGGGTAATATTTTAAAAGATACATTTTAGAAACAAAGGGGACACTCTTTCTCAGTGAAACAGGCAATTCATAGTACACAGCACATGTTCTTTCTGTACAAGGTCACATTTTGCCTCTTACACTGAAGTGCCTGCCACTTTGGTGTGAGTAAGCCATCGCACGCAGCCGGGCAACAGAATTCAGCTTGCAGGCAGCCATGGTAAGCCCCAGGGGCATGCGGGGTTCTGCTTCTTCCGCATTCATTTCAATGCTTTCAAACTGCTGGGGCCCCCTTTCCCATAGCGAGCAATGCCTGGTGGGTTTGCCATATAAAAGGAGGGCCTACAGGCTCTCTAGTATGATTGCTTCATACAACATCCCCCACCCCACCCCCCGCACCCACCACATGGCTTTGATGAGGCTCTGAGCAGGGATGAACCCTTTAAACTAAACGGGAACAGCCCAGCACGGCTGGGTTTTCCCCCCACCCCCCACCGTGTGGCTCCGATCAGGCTCTGACTCACCAGAAATGCCTTCTCCAGGGTCATGGTCCGGGAGCATGCCTTGGGAGTAGGGGAGGCTATTGGCTCCAGCATTAAGAATAGTTCCTGGCTAGGGGGGAAAACAGATTCCCCACTTGCCGCCTGTGCACTGTCCTCCTCCTCCTCTTCGTCTTCCAATAACTCATCCTCCTCACTCCATGCAACTCCCCCCCTTGCAGGTGTCCACAGACAGTGGTGGGGTACTGGTGGCGTCACCCCCCATAATTGCATGCAGCTCACGGTAGAAGCGGCATGTATGGGGCTGTGATCCAGAGCGCCCGTTCGCCTCCCTGGCTTTTTTGTATGCTTGCCTGAGCTCCTTGATTTTTGTACGACACTGCTCTGTGTCCCTGGAGTAGCCCCTTTCTGTCATGGCCCTGGAGACTTTAATGTACGTATTTGCGTTTCTTTTTTTGGAACGTAGTTCTGCCATAACAGATTCGTCTCCCCAACATGTGATGAGATCCAGTACCTCCCGTTCAGACCATGCTGGAGCTCGTCTGCGAATCCGGGACTGCGTGGTCTCTTGTGATGGTGGACTGTGCTGATGGTCACCTGTGCTGATGGTGACCAAACAGGAAAAGAAATTCAGAAGTTCCCGGGGCTTTTACTGCCTACCTGGCTAGTGCATCGGAGTTGAGAGTGTTGTCCAGAGAGGTCACAAGGGAGCATTCTGGGATAGCTCCCAGAGGCCAATAACGTTGAATTGCATCCACAGTACCTGTAACCCAGAACTGCAATCTCGATTTTAGCGCTACTCCACTTGCCGAGGTGGAGTACAGAAATCGGATTAAAGAGCCCTTTAAATCGGAAAAAACGGTTTGGTTGTGTGGACAGAATCTGTTTTATTTCAAATTAAGTCGACTAATTCCGAAATAAGCATGTACTGTAGACCAGGCCTTAGGTTCCAACGGGTAATAGAAGCTGCTGGATACCCAAACTCTATATGTCCTCTAGGGCTAACCCACGCCAAGCACTGGGGATCCCTTGCTTATGCTTAGAAATCTTTCCCTCTCCACGTCCAGTAGCACAGAGACCCAGTTTCTTCTTATCAAGGATTTTTATTCCCTTATCCCAGAGTTCAGGCTAATGGGATGAGTCCTTGTGCGCATCTCCTCTTCATGAGTGTGGGGGGAGCAATCACCAAAGTCTTTGTCCTCTGAGGTTTCACAATGGCTCATGTGGGCCATCTTGTGAGCCAGAATAACTAGGAAGGCTGTAGGAAGCCAGCCTTTACATTAATTAATGCTTCTTTGCTGTTTGGTGAGCTACACAGTCCCACAGGTTTACACTGCAAACTCTTAATATAACCTCATACCATGGGGTACAGGTGTTAAGTGAGCTCAATACACACAGCATCCTACAAGCATTTCATAAAGTCTGGTTCTGTGGGTCTCATCCTTGCCCCGGGGACCCTCCCACAGGGAACTGGGGCTCAGCTTGGTAGTCTCCCCTTCCCCGGTACTGCACAGAGGCCTGGCTGGGGATGTATGCAGGGGAAGAGGGCTCAGGCAGCCTGGGGCTGTGTTACTGTTCCATGGGACCCTGACTTCTGCCCCAGAAGAGGGGCTATGGGATACTGTGCAGTCAACCACCTGCCATGCTGCATTTCTACCATGGGTTGTGTTCCCAGCCCAGGAGTCCTGCTCTCTGGTGTGGGAACACTGGGGCACCAGCAGGGGAGTCCCACTACTTCCACGGTTGGGGCCTTCTGGATGCCAGTCCATTCTCCTTTAGCTCTGGAAGGGAGAGCTTCCTCTGCTGTCCCATGTGGGAAAGGCTCCATGGTGGATTCTGCACCACTCTCTGTGTTCCGGGGTGGGCTTTTGCTGCAGGCATTTTCCTGCTGTCTAGTCCATGTGTCAGCAGCCTGGGAGTGGCTCCGCAGGGGTTCTGTGCACCTCGTCCGCACACCTCACGTCCGTGGCGTGCTTGGAAACCTTGCAGATTTACTGTGGCCTCTCTGGGACCATCTGATGCTGGAGCCCGGCTCTGGCTGCCCCAGAATGCATTTGGCCTTGGTTCCTCCCTGTGGAGGATCTGGCTGCGGGGGTTCCACTTGGCAGACTGGCTGGGTTTTGCTCTCTTTTTGCATGGTTGCGGGTCTAGGGTCCCGTTTGCCCTCAGTCTGTGCTCATACTGCAGAGCTAGCCTGGCTCCTGTCAGCGGTTTGGGGCACATTTGAATCCCTCTGAGTTTGGGAGTAGCCTGCAGATGGTACCCAGGCAATGCTCCGGGCTTTGGGGGTGACTGGTGCTAACCATTCCTGGCCCAGAGAGGTCATGCAATGGAGCTGACTGTGCCACATTGTTCTTCCCTGCAGTTTACCCTCCAAGTTCACTCTGCATTTTCTGGAGGAGCACTCCAGTGGCTGCGATGGGGGCCAGTCCCGGCAGGAGGCAGCCAGGCAGGCCCCCTCAGAGCTTCGCCCCTTTGCTGCCCAGATGGTGTCCAACCAGAGGGTCACGGCGGAATCACACTTCCAGGACGTCCGGCTCATTGAGTTTGATGTCACAGGCTCTGGGATTGAGTGAGTCACCCCTAGGCCCACTGGGTTTCTATTGTACGCGTGGAACGGGAGCTGCCCTGGCCCCTCCTTGTGCTCACAGTGACTCCAGACCAGAGGTGGGCAAGCTACGGCCCATGGGACCGTCCTGCCCGGCCCTTGAGCTCCTGGCCGGGGAGGCTGCCCCGGCCCCTCCCCTGCTGTCCCCCCTCCCCCGCAGCCACACCACATGGGCAGCGCGGCTGGCTCCATCAGGGCAGTGAGGCTGCGAGCTCCTGCCGCTCTGAGCGGCATGGTAAGGGGGGGGGGTGGCATGTGCGTGTAGCAGCGAAGTTGAGTAGGGGGTCCCGGGGGGCAGTCGGGACAGGGAGCAGGGGGCTGTTGGATGGGGCGGAGGTTCTGGGGTGGGGCGGTCAGGGGATGGGGGGGTTGGATAGGGCATGGGAGTCCCGGGAGGCCTCTCAGGGGGCGGGGGTGTAGATAGGGGTTGTGGGGGCAGTCCGGGGACAGGGAGCGGGGGGGGTTGGATAGGGGGTGGGGTCCCAGGGGGCCTCTCAGGGGCAGGGGTGTGGATAGGGGTCAGGGGGACAGGGAACAGGGGGGTTGGATAGGTGTGGGAGGCCCAGGGGGCCTGTCAGGGGACAGGGTGTGGATAGGGGTCGGGGCAGTCAGGGGACAGGGAGCAGGGAGGTTGGATGGGGGTGGAGTCCTGGGGGGCTGTTAGGGGCAGGGGATGCCAGGAGGGGGCGGTCAGGGGACAAGGAGCGAGGTGGGGGGGTTGGATGGGTCGGAGGTTCTGAGGTGGGGGGGAAGTGGATGGGGGCGGGGGCCAGGCTGTTTGGGGGGGCACAGCCTTCCCTACCCAGCCCTCCATACAGTTTCACACCCCAGTGTGGCCCCCGTGCTCAAGACAGAGCAGGAGCTGCTGCTGCTCTTTGGAAGGTGTTTTTCTGTGGCAGTGACCCCGTGACCTCAGCCACCCCCTGTCCCTGCTGGATCACTGCCCTGAAGAAGGGGGTTTCCTTTCTCCAGGGGGCTTTTGCTGGCCGGAGCAGAGACTCATTCAGTGGGTTTATCAGTCCGCGCAGGGCCATCAGTCTTTGGCTTTCTGCACCTCTCCTCATTGTCCTGTTGTCAGTCCTCCACCTGCACAACGGTGGGCCCCACCGCTCTGGTTCGCTGCCACTGTACAGCTCTTTGAGTGATGCCCCAGGCAGGCGCTGCTCGGGAGGGGAGCTGACCTGATCCCACAGGAAGGGATGGCTGTGTTTGCCAGGCCGCGCAGGCTCCATTTCCCGCTCCCTGGCCACTCCTCTCCAGGTTTCTGTAAGGATGCTGGGCCCCGTGGTTTAATCGGCCCCAGTGGTGCCTGCTCTCCAGCCGTGTAACCCCTGCTGGGCTGGCTCCCTACTCAGCAGAGCTGGTGGAAAGCTGGGCTGTATTTTGGCCCTAACTGGGGATTGGGACGGCACTGCCCCCCGGTCTGGGTCAGGGTAATGTACTGATCGGGATTCGTTTGTTGCTGTTGGAAACCAAGGCGGCAGGGAGCTGGGCAGAGTGATTCCACACGTGGGGGGGCCCTGCAGTGAGGAACAGGCTTCCGCCTTCCTTCCGCTGCTTGGCAATCCCCCTTTCAGACCCTGCCCTCTCAGTGGCCTTTGAGCTCCCTTCCCTGCCCTCCCTCTGCTGCGGTTGGCTGTGCAGGGGGGGAGCTGGCATGTGTGCTGCATGCCCTGCAGGTACCGGGCGGGAGACGTGCTGATGGTCCAGCCCCGGAACGCCCCCGAGGACGTGCAGCAGTTCTGCCAGCTTCTGCGCCTGGATCCAGAGAGATGCTTTGTGCTGAAGCCCTCTGAGCCCGGTACGCTCCCCACCCTCTGCTCCTTCCTCTCCGTGCCAGGCTGGGGCCTCCCGTTCGGCGGCTCTGCTCCAGCTCCCGTCTCTGCTCTCTTGGGCTTTGGAGCCTGGGAGATTGCAGGAGAGCTAGTCAGCCACTGATGGATGGACTGTTCAGCTCTGTCTCGTGAGAGCGCTGGCCGTGTGGTCCCACTGCAGAAGTGTGAGATTGGGATTTGACCAGCAGTGTCCAGCCTGCGTCCTCGCCCTCCCCTCTCCTCAGGGCATGACAGGCAGAGCGGGCCCCTCAGTTCCCCCACTGGCACCGGGGCGGTGAGACGGAGCTCTGGGCTCCACCTCGGCATCACAGCTGCCTCTCCTCAGAGCTGACCCGTCGTGGGGCTCCTCGCTTTACCGCCTGTGTCAGCTCCAGGGGTTCAGTGTGGGGGCCGCAGGAACACCCAGACACGTCCCTCCCAAGGGCCCAGGACTGCCCCAGCGGCATCACTAGGGGACCAGCCCAGACTACCCCTCTGGTCTAGCATTTCAGCCCCAGCGGGCACCAGTGGCTCCTCCGGTGAGACCCCAGGAGCTAGTCTTCCTCCTTTGTCTTTCATAAGAGCCCCAGAAATCAGCACTGGGCTGGTCCATCTCCTCCCCGAGGCCAGCCCAGCCCAGCCCATCTCCTCCCCAAGACCCAGCCCGGCCCATTGCCACGCGCCCCGAGACCCGCCCCGGCCAGCCCGGCCCATTGCCACCCGCCCCGAGACCCGCCCCGGCCAGCCCGGCCCATTGCCACCCGCCCCGAGACCCGCCCCGGCCAGCCCGGCCCATTGCCACCCGCCCCGAGACCCGCCCCGGCCAGCCCGGCCCATTGCCATGTGCTTAGTGCAGCTCTTCTCCTAGTGGTCAGAAGTCAGAGCCCAAGCAGCTGGAGCCCGGCCAGTCTCTTCAGCTTGCCTCAGGAGCGCACCTGTCCTGGGAGTCTGTAAGGCCAGCAGGGGCCCCAGGCTCGTCTGTTCTGACCTCCTGTGCGTGACAGGCCACCAGCACGTGCACACTACCCCCAGCAGCCGCAATGAGACCAAAGCGTCACAGCCCACAGGCAGAGAACAGGAGGGACTCAGGTGCACCAGTGTCAGAGAAATGATTAAGTGAGATAATCCTGGCAGTGCCCTGCACACATGCACTGCAGAGAAAGGTGAGCACCCCTGAGATCACTGCCAATCTGAGCTGGGGGAAGACTCCTTCCTGAGCCTACATAGGGCAATCAGCCAGGCCCCAGGCAGGTGAGCAAGATCCAGCCAGCCAATCACCTGAGAGAGAGAACGTGCCACCTCTGAGCCCTGGCCCTCCCCCCCAGTGTTCCATCTCCAGCCAGGCCAGCCCTGGTGTTTCAGAGGAAAGAAACCAAACCCCAGAGTACAGGGTGGGGAGGGGAGCATCCCCCAGCTGAAGACCTGATGCATGAGTTTTAGGTACGTAAGACATAGCAGCCAGGTCCCTTCTGGTTTGAGCCCCCCCCCCCCCCCCACCATCACAAGCAACCCCATCGTACAATCCACTCAGACACTTGTCCAGCTTTCTCTTGAAGCTAATTAATTCTTTGTCCACCCCCCCTCACCTCCTGTTGGGAAGCTGTTCCAGAGGGCTAGACTCTATGCAGAACCCAGCGCAGACTTTTACAATACATTATCGCCCAGATCTGGCCTCAGGAGAGCAGGTCTGCAGTCCTTGCTACCGCCGGTTGGTTGGGTAGGTCCCCCACCACAAGCGGGGACCCACCCGGACAGAAACTTGGAAGGAGACAGATCTTCCAGTAGCTGTACTGCTTGAGGTGGTTTGTCCGTGTGGCCCCCCAGCCACCCCGCCAGCCCTGCTCCTTTCATCGTCCATCTCTGCTAAGGTTCTGAACTAGCAAGGGGACTAAGAGACAGGCAGGGCTGCTCTGCCCTACAAGCCCCCAGGCGGGCGGGGCACAAGGATGTGCAGGTCACAGGCCAACAGGCCCTGCTGGTCAAAGATTCACCTCTCACATCCCAGAGGTGCCCGCGCATCGGGAGTGAGATCCACAAACACAAGACCGCTAAGAAAATCACTGTTACTGTGGGTCAGCATCCACTCTTCTCTGCAGCACTCCCAGCCTCCCCCATCTCAGGCTATGGGCCAAACGGGTATGGGGTGGGAAGTGGTGGCCGTGCGGGTGACCAGGTGGAGGAGAGCAGTGAGGACTCCTCAGGCTGGCAGGAGCAATGCTGTGGCCGGTTGCTCAAGCGGTTGCAGATGTGCATTGCACTCAGGTGTGCCTGCACCTAGGGAATGGAGAGCCAGAGATGGTTTTCCTGCCGCTGTTGTTCTTTGAGCTGTGGATGCAGACGTGTGTTCCATGACCCACGCTCCATCCCTCTTCATAGGTCTAGTCTGCCTCTCTCGAGGGAAAGAACTGAGGGGGGTTGGGTTGGTGCCACCCTTAAATAGCCTTGGGAGACACAAAGCGCCTGTTGCCCTAACAGATGCTGCTGTAGGAAAAACGTCTTAGACTCTTCCTGCACTATGTGTAAACGCACCTGAGTACAGCACACCTCTGCACCCACAGCTCAAAGCTCAGTTACAGCTTAGGTAAATCACCTGTCCTGGGGAGCTTCCACTGGGTTCGACTCGACTGAACTCCCCCATGTGCTGGCAAATCCATTTGCTGGGGTGACTCAGTTACTCTTGCTTTGGCCTCCCCTAGAAACAACAGAATCCACTTCAGCTGGCTGCAGCATCGCTCCCACGCTGCATCGTACCTGCCTTCTGCTATTGCAGAGCCTCTCCTGCTCCAGTCGGGCTCTGAGCGGAAGCGAAGCCTGAGGCAGCCCTAGGCGGGGTGGGGGGGAGCTCCTTGGGCAGCTGTGCAGCCAGGCTTCTTGCCCCTTACTTGGGTCAGCGCCAGCCTCCAGAGCTCTCTTGGCCTCATCCCTTCCCTTGCAGGAACCCCCCTTCCAGCCCACTTGCCGCAGCCATGCACCATCCAGCACCTGGTTGCCTGCTACCTGGACATTTCCTGTGTTCCCCGTCGCTCTTTCTTCGAGCTCTTGTCCTGGTTCTCACCAAACGAACTGGAGCGTGAGAAGCTGCAGGAATTCAGCTCTGCGCAGGGCCAGGAGGAGCTCTGCAGCTACTGCAGCCGGCCCCGCAGGACCACCCTGGAGGTAGGGCAGCTGGAGGAACCTGCCGGGGAGAGTGGGGACTTTCTGTAGGGAGCTGCACTGAGTTCTTGGCTCTGCTTGGCCTTGCCCCTCTCCCTGAAGCTGGGCAAATGGAGATGAAGTAAAGCACAGATATTTTACAGCGAGGGTCAGTAAGGGCCATGTGCCTGCTCCAGCGTTGCCCTGGATGGGCAGCAGGTCGGCCCTTGCGGAGAAGTGTGACTCTGGCGCAGTCCCCGTAACAGCCAAGAGCAGAGTCCCAGGCAGCCCTTGGAGGCCACGGAGGGTTGCAGAGGAGTGCGGTAGGATGAGCTGGGGGGCAAGTGGAGGGGTGGGAAGTTGAGGAAACAAAGAGAAAGTGGTGGGGGTTGTCCTAGTGTGGGGGAGGATTAGGCTGTGCCCTCCTTGCACGTGATTACTTCCCCCCCTGCTCCTCTCATCCCTCGCACAGACCCCAGCCCCACTTCCCTATCCTCCTGGAGGGCTAAGGGCTCTTTCACGAGGAGTCCCATCTCCTTCACCTCACGCTGTCCTAGCTGGGCACTGAACGAGGACAGGGAACTGTGCAATGCACGTGGTCCTGTGCTGAAAGACCCGGGGTGTAATGCACACGCTGTAAAAGCTCACGTACAAAGGCACCGTGACCTGGACATTCCCTGACTTGGACTTAATTTGCAACTTTGCTGTTCCCTTCACACATATTTTTTTCCTATGGAATTTCCCGGTTTTTTAATGCGGGGGAGGAAGGGCAAGAAAAGAACCTTCTTTATGGGCTTAGACTGTTTGGCCAGGAAGCCCTAGACACCAGCAGCAAGGTTGGGCTTGCATGCCCCAGTGCTGAAACTGTGTCCTGTACATAGCGCTCTCCACAGTCCCAGGTGCCCTTTCCTCGGTGCAGAGCGCTCTGTGAACGAGGCAAGGCCGGGAGCCCATGGAGGGCTCTGGTGTGGAGGGGGGCAGAGCACAAGCACATCGGGAGGACCTACCAGTGCTGAGGGTGCGGCTGTAGGCTGCCCCGCTCCCAGGTTGCCTTCCAGGAGAACTGAGTGGTAGCAGTGTGTAGAGTCAGAGACTCCCAGGCCGGAAGGGACCGTGGTGATCATCTCGTCTGACCCCTGCATCGCACAGGCCAGAGACCTGCCCCACAGTCATCCCTAGAGCAGACCAGTTAGACAAACATCCAACCTTGATATAAAAATAGCCAGTGATGGGGACTCTACCACGACCATTGGTGAGTTGTTCCAAAGGTTAATTATTCCCACTGTTAAAAACGTCTGTCTTCGTTCTAGTCTGAATTTGTCCAGCTTCAACTTCCAGCCACTGGGCCGTGTTACACCTTTCTCTGCTAGATCGAAGAGCCCATTATTAAATATTTGTTCCCCAGTTAGGTACTTATTGACTGGTTAAGCTAAATAGACTGAGCTCCTTGAGTGTCACTCTAAGGTAGGTTTTCTGATCCTCGTATCATTCTCGTGGCTCTTCTCTGAACCCTCTCCAGTTTGTCAACATCCTTCCTGTGTAGAAGGGGTGTTGGGCATATGCCATCTGTGTCATTGCCAGCACTGGGCAGCTGAGTAAAGGGCTGCTTCTGCCAGGTTTAGGGGTTTCTCTCCATGGGCCCATCCCGAAGGAAGGGCAGACCATCTCCCTGGTCCTGTCCTCCTTTCTCACATCTCTTTGGTGTTTCCAGGTCCTCTGCGATTTCCCTCACACCGCTTGTGCTGTTCCAGTTGACTACCTGCTGGACATCATCCCCCGGATCCAGCCCCGTGCCTTTTCCATCGCCTCCTCCATGCTGGTAAGGAGCTCCAGCATGCCTGTTCTCCCACGTAGGTTGCTGGGGCTAGGACTAACAACTCACTGCCTCGAGAAGGCTCTTCGCTCGGGACCCCAACAGTGCCCAGAGAGGAAGGAGCTGTCTGCTCCTGTATCCTGCAGACATCCACAACTCTCGCAGGCTCCGCCCCTTGCTGTGGGGACTGTTGAATGGCTAATTCTTTGGGGCACCAACCTCCCGCTCTGGCCACTCATGTTTCCTCACTCCTGCGCCCCTGGGAGCCACAGGAGCTTTGGCGTTGAATGTAGCCAAAGGGATGGGCCCTGCTATTTCCCCTGCCCTGTGGACAGAAGGCTGCGTTGCGGTGAGGGGTGTCTGGACTGGGCATGCCGCACGTGGGGACTGTTGGGCCGCCCTGCCTCTGGCTGTGGGTGTGACAGTAGTATCATATTGCCAGCATGGTTCAGGTAAGGCAGTGGGTGTAGTGGCTGCCTGTTGCCACCAGTAGATGGGACTAAGGAGCCTGTCCCGTGGGGTGAGCGAGGGCGTGAAGATGAGCTGAAGAGTTGCCCAGTAGCCAGTTGGCTTTTCCCTTCCGTCCTGGGGTTCTTAAGCCTTTGGGGCTGGCAAGTCTCCTCGGTCTAGCTGTGTCGAGAGGGCTTCTCCTGGGACTCTCTCCTGCATCCGAGGCGCCCTGTGCGTGCAGGGAGCTGGCCGGTCAGGGGTGTCACAGCGGAACTTTGAAAGGAGGGATTCCCTGTTCTGCTGTCAAAATGGCAGCCTCAGGCTAGGAAGTACATACCGCGTGGGGAGAGCACAGGGCCCAGGAACTGCCTCCCCAGTCTGACCACTGGCCCCCTCCTGCAAACCAGTGCTCCAGCCACTCCCGTGTCCCATCTCCTACCGCATCAGCAGAGCCCGTCAGTCCCTCTGGTTCTGCACCATCTCCCCCGTACTCATCTCTGGCTGGGCTAGGTGCCCTTTGAGGGGCTTTGCCCTGGTCTTCCATGGTGTTAGTCAGGAGGGCCTGGCTGACTCTGCTCAGCCCAGCACCCAGGCTGCTCTGGCTTGGGCCACTGTTTCACATTGCACCTTTCTGCCCCCAGGCTCTCCCCAACAGACTCCAGATCCTCCTGGCTGTGGTGCAGTACAAGACTCGTCTCAGCAAACCCCGACGTGGCCTCTGCTCTACCTGGCTGGCATCCCTCAACCCTCAGCAAGGTAACTGGTCATTCGATATCACAGGCAGAGCTCTGGGTGCTCCACTGCTCCTAGGCTATGGGCATGCCCCCTTCTGTGTCAGAGAGAGCCTGCATGGAGTTGGGCATGGGTTAGCTTGGCGAGAGGCCAAACGCACTGCCTCCCTCTTCTTCATGGTACTTTGTGAACAGTGACCCACTGCCCTGCTTTCCCCTTGGCACGCAGCCTCTCTTTGACTGTCCCCACCCTAAGGACCCAAGCTCCTCTCCCTCTTCCGAACCCTCCTGCAGAACAAGTGCTGAGTCCAGCCTCCAGGGTCCTGCACTGACACTGGGCAGGCAAGTGTTTCCTTTAAATGCATCACCCTTGTCCATCTCTCCCTCCCTAGGGGCGTGGCCCTCTGCTCCCTCATGGGGATCCCCGAGGAGGAGATGCGGGGCAGGAAGTCATCCATCTGTCAGGGTAGCTGGAGCTTCCCACGCTGCTCTCACCGAGGTCAATCCTGCCTCGAATGCCATCCTCGGGGTGACCAATTCTCCAGCACGGCCCCTCCCGCCCACCGGGGCCAGGTCTGTGCGAGGAGCTGGCCCTGGTGCTGCTACCTGCTGGCATGGTCTCTGGGGTTCACTCCAGCGCCTGGTAGAACAATAAAGATTTGGCTCCATGGATGGAAGAACGATGGGGTCATATTTAGTCCATCTCCCCAAACGCTCTGAGCGTGCCCACAGGGCTGCAGCAATTAGCGGGTTCCTCGGGCCCATAACATGCCGTTTGCTGCTTCCTTCTCTGCTCCATCTCCCTATAGCGCAGGGTAACGGTTGGCTGGCACAGGGCCGAGCTGCCCCCAGGGCAGTGCCCTGCTCGGCGGACGCCTGTCACTTACATTGCAATTGCAGTTCTAGGGCCTGCTGTGGTTGAAGCATGACTGTACCTAGCCTGTTCCTTTTGCAGGGGATGTCCGGGTGCCTCTGTGGGTGAAGAGGGGAGGAATGAAGTTCCCTGCAGAGCCAGACACCCCCATAATCATGATTGGCCCTGGCACGGGAGTGGCACCCTTCAGAGCAGCCATACAAGAGCGCGTTGCACATGGCAGGAAGGGTGAGAAGCTCGCCTGGGAATGATTCCTGCAGGCCCCCTCCTTGCTGCCGAGGGGTGCGCCCAAGGCAAGGGGGAGGGGTGTGGCTCAGGAGATCGGGTACAAGAAGTGGACCAGAATAAATTGTCCGTGGGGACATAGCGAGTGCACAAGGCCCCGGCTGCACTATTGGACTGTGTCCCTGGGACAGCAGCCAGGCCTCTGGAGCAGGGTGGGACAAGTGGGGTCTCTGGAGTTCAGGCCCTGTGAGGCGGGTCTCTGGTACATGGGCCCCATGGGAAGAGGGAGGCCTCCCTCAGATTGGAGGGTCTATGCTCTGCCCAGGGAGGGGCAGTTCTGATGTCCCTTCAGGGCTGTGGGTGGGGGGCAGAACCTTGGAGACTTGGGGGAATCCCTGGTGGGTGGCCCTCGAGCTGGGGGTTGGGGGCTCCTGGTATTGGGCCCTTCGGAGAAGGGGGCTGGTCAATTATCCTATGTCCCATGGCAAAGAGCAGGGCAGGCCAGAGCAAGGGCCAATATCGGACACAGGGCTGCTGTACGTGCTCAGAGCTGCCTGTGTCTGACCGGCAGTCCATGAAGTCCACGGGTCCCAGCAGGCTTCCTTTTGAGCCCCAAGGGTTTGACTGGAGTGCGAGCATTGCATGCTGGGCCCTGTTGTCTCCACAGACGGCCCCTGGGATTAAGGATGAAAGCGAACAGTTCATGTAGGCCAGAGCCAGTCCTGGGCAATTTTCTGCATGGTCCTGCTTTGGACGGGGCCTTCTCTGGAGCATCTCGTAGGCTGCCCTGTAGGGCTGGGCCCAGTGCCCTCCATGGCTGGCTCCTGATGTTTGCTCCCCTCCCCGCACCCTTGGGGAGGCTGGCTGTGTCTCCGCTCAGAGTCGAGTCCTCGGGGAGCTCTGCTCACTCCAATGTTCCCCTTTGATTTCTCTGCAGAGAACTATTTATTTTTTGGCTGCCGCCAGAAATCCAAGGACTTTTACTGCGGGGCTGAATGGCAGGAGCTGGTGAAGAGCGGGCACCTGACTCTCTTTACAGCCTTCTCCAGGGACCAGGTTAGTAACTGTGCAAGGAGCGGCCGCCAGCGGGTGCAGACAAGGGCCAGGGGACAGTGCCCTGTGATGGGCTCTCAGTGTGGGATGGCTTTGCTGAGCTCCTGCTGAGTGATGGGCAGAGCACACCCCCACCTGCTGCAGGATGGCAGGGGCTCGTTGCTAAATGGCAGACACCTTGGAGCAGGACACAGATCAGGGGGAGAGGGGAGCCTTGCGTCCAAACTAGAACTGCAGCCTGATGTGTCCTGGACCTTGGCCAGTACCATGGCCCCCCTCCCTGTGGCAGTCGCACAAGGGGCTTGGTGCTTGTAAGTGGTTTGGACAGGCCAGTTAGGCTGCTGTGCTGTAGGCTGAATCAGTGACCTCCCATCTCCTTGAGCAGTGCTGGGATTCTGCAATCCGGCTCCCTGAGCCTGCAGGGCTGGTTCGATGCGCCCAGTCCTTGGGGAAGGGATCTCCTTTCCTGGGCAGAGCTGGGGCGAGCTCTGGAGGAGGGGGGCACTGGGGCTGTGTTAGCCCTGTGCTGCGTGAAGTGCAGGCTGTCAGTGAAGTGCCATCACAAATGAACCAGTGCCCAGCAGAGAGTTGAGGGCACTGTGCTGTGAGTGCTGCCTGTCTCCAGATGACTTGGCCTGGCTGAGTCACTGACTGTCCTGTGGATTTGTCTGCCAGACTCTAGCTGGGATGGAGCTGTTCTGCCTGCCTGCGTTTCCCCTCTAGTTAGGATATTCCTCTGTTTCCTGTCCTAAAGCACTGCGTAGCCTTGTTGTGTGCTGCCAGAGAGCTGCACATCCCAGCCAGCGGGGCTGCGCCTCTGGGAAGCAGCAAATCCTTCAGAAATCCCTTGTAAAGTGCTTTGGTGTCTTCCCCTCCCTTTTGGTTCAGCAGAACCAGCCCCATTCAGGGTGAAACACAAACCTCATTTTGGTGCCCTTCGCTTTTCCTCAATAACTTCTTTTCTTTACAAAGAGAGCCCCTTGCATCGGGTCTCATCGCCTCCCCCATACCAAAGCAAGCTCTCTCTGCTGCAGGCTGGGAAGGCAGACAGTGGGAGAGAGGGCAAGTGTCATGTTATTTCTGCTGTTAAACACGCGGTGTGGGAAGGGGAGGAGGTGAGTCCTGAGAGAGACGAGGTTGGGGATCAGCCTGGACATTCAGTGGAAATGCGTCCAGTGCACAACAGTCATTTCCAAAGCCCCCCTCCAGGGACAAGGCAAAAAGGAGCGTGGTCACACATTACCAGCCAGTGCATGTCCTTGCCAGGGAGCTGTGTGCCCTGGAAGGGTAGAGTGGAAGGTGCAGCAAGAGGCATGGCACGCTGGGGGGGACCTGCAGCCTCAGAAGGAGCCCTCCCTGGGCAGGAGAAGGCTGGGAGGGGCCTGCCTGGGGCACTGGGGGGACCCCTTCTAGCCAGAGGCTGTTTGAAAGATGGGCACTGGAGCTGGCCTGGGAGAGGCCCCTGTGCAGGATCTGTGCAGCTAGCTAATGGCACTGTGCTTCTCCCCAGGGCACTGCCCCGCACCTTGCTGCTGCCTGCTCACCTGTGGTATCTGCCCTTGGCCAGCAGGTGGCTGAGACCCTGCTGGACCTTTTCTTTCTCTGCTGGGCCATCTGAGAGACAGGCCCAGCACTCAGGGAGGGCGTTCCCTCTGCTTGTGAGGGGCTGGCGCTGTCAGCTGCAGGTCCCCACCGTCCTGCTGTCCCTAGCACAAGCTACACCCCACTCAGGCCATGTGACAGCCTTTCCAGGGTTCACATGGCCTGCAGGGGCCCTTGCTTCCCAGTGACCCTTCCCAGTCATTTGAGGCCAAGTCTACACTACAGGCTGAGAGTGGTATGACTGTGTCGCTCAGAGGTGTGAAAATCTCCCCCCTCTGCCCCCGAGCGAGGTATCCCCCGGTGCAGACAGCGCTGGGTCGGCTCCTCCCATGACCTAGCTCCTGCCTCTGGGGAAGGTGGAGAACCTGCGATGGGAGACACTCTCCTGTTGGTGCCGGAGCGTCCCCACTAAAGTGCGACAGCGGGACAGCCGCATTGGTGCAGCATTTCAAGTGTGATCTGCCCCTGGGCTGAAGGGAGAGCAGGATTCCAGAGACGCGCATGACGCGCTTCAGCCCTGAGAGTGGCTGGCGGGATGCTGAGCAAGAGCCCAGAGGCTGTGCCGGAGTCACCGAAGGATGTGGGAGCGTGCTGGGCTGATGTCGGTGTCACCCAGGCTGGGGGAGGGGAGTGCCTTTTCTTAGCTAATAGCATAGTTTCTCACCCCCAAAGTTCAGACTTTCACAGCGTTTGCTGGCCCCAAGGAGCCATGACCCAGTCTTTCATGAAGTACCCCTGTTTGTCCAGGTGTCTCCTCAGTGAATGGATATAGAGTGTCTTTCTCCACCCTGTGATATACTGAATCAGTCTTTTATCTTTATTCATAGACAAGACCATCCCCTTGTTGTCATATTGTTCCTTCTCACTGCCAGGTGGTTTTGATCTTTATCGTTATCTTTGATGGTTTTCCATCGACTTTTCTGGGTTGCTGCAATGGTAGACAACTGAGCAATACATTACACAACTACCTAGCCAGAGAGGGGTGACAATTCCTTCTTGCTTGAATGGCCATCACCAAGACATAGGATCCCCTGCTGCTTCACTTTCCCTCCAAGACCATAAGGGCATAATTTTCAATATAGTTACATTATTCCTTAAATACAACCGTACACACATCTCACAATGAGTATTGATAAGTGACCAGCTTTCATTGGAGACCTGCTATCCTTTATGGTTAAATACCATGAAAGTGGTGTATTAGGTGTAGTGAGTTTGCCAGGTCTGAGACAGGAGTTGCTTGGAAGAACAGCGAGCCTTTTGCCAGCTAGCACCAATGGGGCTCCGTGTCACAACCACCCTCTCATTCCCCTAGTTCTCCAGCCCCATCCATGCCTCTTCCGAAGCAGGAAAGAGACTGATCCCAATCCAAAGCCATCTGACTGGCTTATTTTCAGTGTGCCACATTCAGGTTTAGACGCATTGTAATGTAGGTGCTTACAATCCACCCGGAATACTGTTGTTCCCAGCTAGCTCTGGGTGTTTTAAGAACCTGTTCGGAGCCCCAGCCTGGCAGGACTGCTGTCAGCACTTCACCAATTCATATCAATGATGCTGACATTGAGCTTTGGGTGGCCATGGCTGCCACACGCTCACTCGCCTTTAGTGAAGTTTTTGGCCAAAATTTTATCAATAGAGCTGGGCACCTCAGAGTACCTTACAGCAGCCTGCCCAATATGGGTCCCAGCTGGAAAGAATGGACATAACTGATGTACTCATGACACTGATGGCGTGCCACAGTGCCAGCCAGTATCACAGGTTACTTTGGGGACATCTCCCATAGGGACAGTGTGTTCCAGATCTCCAGACTGTAGCTCAAAGGGGTCCTGAAATTGCCCTTCCATCAGAGGTCATCAGAGGTCAAGTTGGTGCGTGGGAGATCTTCCTGTACTTATGTACCAAATTGCAAGAGCCTGGCTCAGTGTGGGTGTGGAAATGAAGTGTCAGTCACCTGTCATAGTGTCTGGATTGGGTCTCACTGCATTAAGGCTGCATAGATCAATAATTTCTAATGGGTTAGTAAATGATTTATGGAACTTATAAGCATAAGCCCACGTGAGTAGCCTGTGTTAGTAGACTGGCTATAAGTAGATGGTGTTGCAGACGGGTATGGACCAAGGTTTCAAGACTCTCTAACAATCTCTTCGATTTGATTAACCATTTGGTAAAGCTCCTGTTACCCCTTTACTATGTTTACATAGAATCATAGAAATGTAGGGCTGGAAGGAACCTCGAGAAGTTATCAAGTCCAGCCCCCTGCACTGTGGCAGGACAAAGTAAACCTGGACCAGCCCTGACAGGGGTTTGTCCAACTTTTTTTTAAAAGCTTTCAATGATGGGGATTCCACAACCTCCCTTGGAAGCCTGTTCCAGAGTTTAACTACCCTTAAAGAGTTAGAAACTTTTACCTAATATCTAACCTAAATCTCGCTTGCTGCAGATTAAGCCCATGACTTCTTGTCCTCCCTCCAGTGTACCTGGAGAACAATTGATCACCATCGTCTCTGTAACAGCCCTTAACATATTGGAAGACTCTTACCAGGTCCCCCCTCAATCTTCTTTTCTCAAGACTAAACATGCCCAGGTTTTTTTTCAACCTTTCCTCACAGATGAGGTTCAACAAGGACAAGTGCAGAGTCCTGCACTTAGGATGGAAGAATCCAATGCACTGCTACAGACTAGGGACCGAATGGCTCGGCAGCAGTTCTGCAGAAAAGGACCTAGGGGTGACAGTGGACGAGAAGCTGGATATGAGTCAACAGTGTGCCCTTGTTGCCAAGAAGGCCAGTGGCATTTTGGGATGTATAAGTAGGGGCATTGCCAGCAGATCGAGGGACGTGATCGTTCCCCTCTATTCGACACTGGTGAGGCCTCATCTGGAGTACTGTGTCCAGTTTTGGGCCCCACACTACAAGAAGGATGTGGAAAAATTGGAAAGAGTCCAGTGGAGGGCAACAAAAATGATTAGGGATCTGGAACATATGACTTATGAGGAGAGGCTGAGGGAACTGGGGATGTTTAGTCTTCAGAAGAGAAGAATGAGGGGGGATTTGATAGCTGCTTTCAACTACCTGAAAGGGGGTTCCAAAGAGGATGAGTCTAGACTGTTCTCAGTGGTAGCAGATGACAGAACAAGGAGTAATGGTCTCAAGTTGCAGTGGGGGAGGTTTAGGTTGGATCTTAGGAAAAACTTTTTCACTAGGAGGGTGGTGAAACACTGGAATGTGTCACCTAGGGAGTTGGTGGAATCTCCTTCCTTAGAAGTTTTTAAGGTCAGGCTTGACAAAGCCCTGGCTGGGATGATTTAATTGGTGATCGGTCCTGCTTTGAGCAGGGGGTTGGACTAGATGACCTCCTGAGGTCCCTTCCAACCCTGATATTCTATGATTCTAAACCTTTGATCATTTTTGTTGCTCTCCCTCTGGACCTCTGCAATTTTCCCACTTCCTTCCTAAATTGTGGTACACCACTACTCCAGCTGGGGCCTCACCAGTATCTTGCATACAACACTCCTGTTAATACACCCCAGAATCCTATCAGCCTTTTTTGAAGCGGCATCACATTGTTGACTTATATTCAGTTTGTGATCCACTATAGCCCCAGATCCTTTTCGGCAGTACAACCGCCTAGACCATTACTCCCCATTGTGTAGTGGTGCATTTGATTTTTCCTTTCTAATTGAAGTACTTTGCACTTGTCTTTACTGAATTACATCTGGTTGAATTCAGATCAGTTCTCCAATTTGTCACGGTCATTTTGAATTTTAAACCTGTCCTCAAAAGTGCTTGTAACCCCTCCCAGTTTGGTGTCATCTGTAAATGTTATAAGTATACTCTCCATTCCATTATCCAAGTCATTAATGAAAATATTGAATAGTAGTGGACCCAGGCCTGACCCCTGTGGAACCCCACTAGATCCATCCTCCCAATTTGACCGTAAACCATTGATAACTACTCTTTGATTACAGTATTGCAACTTGTTTCACACCCACTTCATAGTAAATTCATCTAGACCACGTTTCCCTAATTTACCTATGAGAATGTCATGCAGAATTATGTCAAAAGCCTTACTAACATCAAGGTATATCATGTCTACTGCTTCTCCCCGTGCACTACATCAGTAATCCTCTGAAAGAAGGAAATTAGGTTCGTTTGGCATGATTTGTTCTTGACATCCATGCTGACTATTCCTTATAACCCTGTTATCCTCGAAGTGCTTACGAACTGACTGTTTAATAATTTGCTTCAGTATCTTTCTAAGTATTGAAGTTAGGCTGACTGGTCTATAATTCCCTGGGTCCTCCTTGAGCCCCCTTTTAAAGACAGGTGCTGTTTGCGCCCTTCTCCAGTCTCCTGGGACCTCTCCCATCCTCCAGGAATTCTCAAAGATAATTGCTAATGGCTCTGAGTTTGCTTCAGCTAGTTCCTTAAGTACCCTAGGATGAATTTCACTCAGGCCCTGCTGACTTGAATAGATCTAACTTATCTAAACATTCTTAGAATCATAGAATATCAGGGTTGGAAGGGACCTCAGGAGGTTATCTAGTCCAACCCCCTGATCAAAGCAGGGCCAATCTCCAATTTTTGCCCCAGATCCCTAAATGGCCCCCTCGAGGATTGAACTTACAACCCTGGGTTTAGCAGACCAATGCTCAAACCACTGAGCTATCCCTCCCCTTCTTTAAGCTGTTCTTTCCCTATTTTGGCTTGTGTTTCTTCTGTCTGGTTGTCAATATTAATTTTATTGAGTATCTAATTATCATTAATCTCTTCAGTGAAGACTGAAGCAAAATAGGCATTAAGTAACTCAGCTTTCATGATGACCTCAGTTGTTAGCTCTCCTTCCCTGCTAAGTAGAGGACCTATGCTTTCCTTTGTCTTTCTCTTGCTCCTAATGTATTTAAAGAACCTCTTATTGCCAGGAGTAACTCATTTTGTGCCTTAGCCTTTCTGATTTTGCCCCTACGCACTTGTGCTTTTCTTTTGTACTCTTCCTTATCAGTTGGGCCATGTTTCCACTTTCTGTAGGATTCCTTTTTGATTTTCAGGTCATTAAAGAGCTCCTGATGGAGCCATATTGGCCTCTCACTATTCTTGCTGTCTTTCCTTCGCATCTGAATAGTGTGCAGTTATGTGTTTAATACTGTCTCCTTGAGGAACTGCTCTCCTGAACTCCTTTTTCCCTTTGATTTTCTTCCCATGGGACCTTGCTCCACTTCTGTGAGTTACTCTGAGGTGTGACATTGCAGGGTGCTCTGTAGTGGCTGGGGGAATGTCACTGAAAGCATGGAGGGTGTTTGAGCCAGGGATGTCTGGCAGGGGATCTTGCCCAGACCAGCCTCCCTGCTGAGAGCAGAAACCATTACAGGGCCAGACTAAAGGGGCAAAAGACAGCAATCTCCTGGGCTCGCACCCAGCTATATCTCCAATGCCAAAGACCCCTGGCAGGTGTGAAAGGTGCACCCAGTGCCCTCCCAACTCCAGCTGAGGTTGTTCCAGCCCTCTCTAGTGGCAGAGAGGGAACCCATCGGAGATGCTCTCCCTCACCCAGCTGGCCCACCCTGGAGGTGTCTCCAGGCTGCGTACAGACAGGCAGTGGTGGAGCACGAGCAGTTAGACGTCTGATATCCGAGTGCCAGGCTGTGCTTGGGCTGATGGGTGCCAGGCTGTCTCCTGTGGGCATAGCTGCATCAGAGGCATTGGTGCTTCTGTCATTCTCCCCTGGGAATTCTGCCTTGGGAGGGCAGCTTTAAATTCCTGCCCGTGCTCCGTAGGAGCTCAGCTGGAGGGAGGCTGCTTAGGAGATGCTCTGAATCCGGTAATCTCCTAGTCAGCCTGGCCCCCTCCTCTCAGGCCAGCCCTGCCCACTTTCTCCGCTGCACCAGCTAGCTCTAGGCCCAGAGGGGAGTGGGGTTTGGGGCAGATTCTGGCAGTGGGGTTCACAGCCCGGGTTGGCCATGGAGCAGATGCCGGCAGGAGCGGTCTCAAACACTGGCACTTGGGGTGAGGTAGAGGAGCTGCAGTCAGGACAGGTGCAGGACTCTCACTGGCAGGAGTGCCTTACTGGGCACTTGTCTAAAGAAGTGCAGCGCTGCCTGCTTATTTCAGCACTGGCTTGCGGGAGAAGGGACTGCTTCTAGGGACCCTGCTCCTTGGAGCTTCTCTGACTTATGGCCCAGCAGCACCTCAGCCCGTGCCAACAGCTGCTTGTGGGGGAGAGGCAGGGACGGGATTGGTGTCCTGAAAGGAAACCATTTATGGTAGCCACTCAGCTCCATGTGTGATCCATGTGTGGCCATCTCCCAGTGCCACAGGCCCTCTGGACCTTATCTGTCTGTGAGCTTGAGGATCTCCTGTGTGAGCAGAGATCATAAGGCCTTATTCTGTAGAGCCTACAAAGTGCCTGGTTTGATGCCTTCTGATGTCATAGAATAAACTGGCCTGTTGAAACACTAAATAACTGACCAGTGTGATCCTGCTCTCACCCTAGGGATGGGCAAGGTGCATTAGTTCTGGTGTCTACACCAATAACTGGACATGGCTGGCTAGCATGGGGTGTGTGTTTCCCTGCAGGAGGAGAAGATTTATGTTCAGCACAGAATTAGAGAGAACAAAGGACTGGTCTGGGATCTACTGAGCCGTGGGAACGCTCACATCTACCTGGCGGGGTGAGTATCTCGCTGCACCAGGAGCGCTGCTCTCCCACGGCAGCTCTGGATGCTGGAGCCTGGTTCACATTATAATTGGGCACCATCTTTCCTCTCATTAACAGGGTAGTGGTGCCTCATGTAAGAGCAAAAGACAAGGAATTACTTCCCCTATTCTGCAGGGTAAGCCCTTGTGGAGCTAAGAAGCTCCCATCAGCACGGGCTGCCAGGCGAGGCCCTAGCAGAGCGAAGTGGGCTCAGCCTGCCATTGGCACAGCCGGCAGGTTCAGGAGCTGGCAGGAAGTGGTGTCAGGTAGAGTTGTAGGTCGGTTTGGTAGCTGGAAGCAGTTGGTTGGGGTTAGCCACCCTGCATACCTCTCCCTGTGGGATCGCAGTATTTAATGAACTGAGAACACACATTTCTGAGGGCCATGCTCATGGTATCTGAGCCCCTTGTACAGAACTCAGAAGTCCAGGGATTTCCCCGAACGGAACATACTGTGCTGATGGCCAGAGGACCTGCCTAAGGGACTGGGAGCTAGGGATCAATTGCAAACCGAATTCCAATAGTCCCCATAGGGGAGAGAGCCTGAATACGGTACCCCAACTGTGGTGACTTGAGGCTCTGTAGTGCAAGTGCGAGCCAGCATTATTACTAAGGAGATGACACTAAAATACCCTCCCCCTCTCTAGCTCCTTGTGAGTTCCACCCGAGCACCCTGGCCCATGTAACTCTGAGATTGCTGGGGCCTAGACCACTTAGGGCCTTATAAATAGCCAGAACCTTGACAGGCACGCAGCAGTCAATTGTCAACCAATGCAGAGCACACACAATATACCTATCTGTGTGCCCCGGGCACATCATGCACCAGCTGAAGCTTTCAGCCCCAAACAGAGCTACATTAATCTGGCGGAGGGTGACAAAGACCCAAGTGAGCACAATGTGGCCCACATCTGAGATGAGAGAGGACATCTGCCAGCTGCTGGCAGGGGCCATGATTGCTGTGTGGGACTACAGGAGCGGAGAGACAGCCAGGCGAGACCCTAAGACTTCCAGTCTCCTTGGCAACGTGTTCCTGGTGGTCACTGCCAGTTCCTTCAGACAGGTGTGCTTCTCTTTGCCAGTCAGTATCCCGTCCAGCACAGCAGTGGTACTGCAGCTCACAGTATTTCATCCAAGCCTGCCCACCTGGCCCTCCCTACACACACAGCCCTCTGGGATCCCCAGGGTAAAGCCCAGGGAAAGGAAGAGCCCAACATAATCTTCAGGAAAGAACAAAGCTATTAAAGCCACGTCTCGTAGGAGAGCCAATCCGATTCCAAATCACCAGTAGCCCATGTCAGTGCGCCATGTCAGACAGAAGGAGCCAATCCTCTGTGCTGTGGCTTAGGAATAGGAGCTTTCCTAGCTCCTTAGAGTCTCCTGTCTCGCTCCGTTAGTTCCTGGGAGAATGACTTCCTGGAGCAGCCTCCCTCACCTCTGGCCAGGCCTGCACGTGCTGCCTGACTCCATCACTGCCTTGCATCACAGCCAGGTTACAGGCTTGAGCTTTGTCACTGGCTAAACGTTGCGCAGCTGCCTCGAAACAGCTCCTGAGATCTCTGCCCAGAACCCAGTGCTCACGAATTCTGATCTGAGCCCAGTCAAATCCCAACGGTTGTTAATCAGAGAGTGGGGTCTAGTGGTGAGAGCAAGGAGTGGGAGCCAGGAGACCTGGGCTTATTCCTGGCTCTGCTGCTGACTCACTGGGTGGCCTTGGCCAAGTCACGTCACCTGTCCACCTTCATTCTCCCATCTGTTGAATGAGGGTAATACTTGCTGTCTCGCACGCAGGGAAGTTACGTGGCATTGCTGGCGTCTGTGAAGTGCGGTGAGGTCAGCGGGTGAATGGGGCTAGGGGAGGCAGATGTAATTTCTGTCCAGCACCCGGAGCATGTAAAGTGCTATGTTAACACGGAGCATCGTTAGTTCTGTCCTCATTAATAGCAATAGCAGGAGGGTCTGTTCCTCCTCAGCTTCCTGCCAATCCGCAACAAGAACAGGAACCTCTCCGCTGATCCCGGGGGTGAGACTCCCCTGCATTCCTGGAAGTACACACTATGTCTTCCTTGGTCACCCAGGAAATGCCTGGACTAAGCATCCTCCCCAGGAAACCTCTCCTGCTGGCTGCCTGGATGAGCAGGGTCATCTGGCCGAAAACTGGATGGTTCAGGGAGCATTTCAGAACTCCATCATCCCAAAGAACAACTGGTCACCGTTTTCAAACGGAGGAGCCGAAACACAGCACCTGGCCCCAGCGCTAGGACCCAAAGGGGAGGGAAACCTGTTTGCTGGAGGATTGGGCATATGCCTTGTGTGTGTGGGCCCAGAGTCTGCAAGTCACCAGCACTGTCAGGGCTGCACGTATCCTGGCTGTCTTACTGCCCCTAACCCAAGGGCAGCCCCAGCCGCTTCCTGCCACCCATGTCCGTGAGTCTGGGCACTGTAGTAACCACCCCCTACTCCGTGTTTTGTCTTTCGATGGTGGTTGGTGTTGCCAGACAGTCCCCAGAGTAGGTGTCCCAGTGGCCCACGCTAATCGATTCCCAGGCCAGTGGGGAACCCTGTTGTGACATACCCCGGGCACAATCTAGACGAGCGAGTAGCTGAGTCACCCCTGCCCTCTAACATGGGCTGCCCTTTACACTGCTCTGCTGCTGCGGCAGCTCACAAACAGCCTCCAGAAGGTAAGTCACTCCCAGCTTCAGCCGTGTTACCTGCAGCCAGCCAGTCACGCCCAGGCTCTGCATTATACTTCAGGATGACCCCAGCACACTCCCAGCCCCAGGCTTTCCCCAGAAATGTGTGTCTTGTACTGCCCAGCCCTCCCCTGGACAAGACAAGCTCATATAAAGTCTGTCATTGTATTAACAGAAATTTTGATATGTACCAACCTTGCTACCCCAAATGGAGTTTCCCAAACACTCCAATTTAAACACACTGGCTTAGATAAAACAATATAACAAGTTTATTAACGACAAAGAAATAGATTTTAAGTAAATATAAGTAATGAGGCATAAAAGCCAGAAATCAGTTACGAGAAAAATAATGATAAAACGCAACTAATGGCTAACTTAACAAACTCTGTTAAACTCAACTTGAATTTTTTCTCACCACATGCTCTCAACAGTCTTACTGGCCAAATATCTTAAGCCAAGACCCCTTCCTCTTTGTAATGGCTGCGTCTGTTGTTCCTTCTGGTGCAGTGAATCGATGCACAGAAAGAGAGAGGAGGAGGGGATCCATTGCGGTGTCTGCCCCTTCTCTTATCGTCCTGTCCTCTCTTTGAGAAGCATGTCCTGCTGGGAGCATGGGAACTCCATGCTGTTTCTCTGCTAAGATATAGATTTTTCACACCAGCCCTCTTTCCTGCTAAAGAATGGCCACTTAGCAGGTTGACTTAGCCCATTGACCTTGTTTACACGTGGCAGAGGTGTCAGCTCGCCCTTTGTCTCCAAGGAACTGGTTTGGCCACTCCTCAGACTTGGAACATGTGTGAATAACGTCATACAGTGGAATCTTCCAAATTCACATACAATGTTGCCACACATATTTTACTAGGACAATAATGACCAGCAAATTATGAGCTTTCAAATGATACTTTGCAAAGCATGCTGTGTACAAAGATTATTACAATAGTGGACAGGGGCATATTCTAGGGGTGACCAAACTGTGACTCGTGAGCTGCATGCGGCTCTTTTACAGTTAAAGTACAGCTCACAGAGCCCCTCATACCCCCCACCCATTCTCCACTTGCGGGGAACTTGGGACCTCTACCTTGCAGCAGGGTGGTGGGGTAGGGACTTTTGCCCAGCAAGGAGGGTGGTGGCGGGGCTTCAGCCCTGTGGGGTGCACCTGCAAGGCCCTGGGGCTTCAGCTGGAACAGAGCTGAAGCCCCAAGCCCTGGCTGGTGCCTCCTGCAGGGCAGAAGCCCCGAGCCCCAGCAGACACGTCCCAGCTCTTGAAGTTCTGAAGATTGTCATATGTGGCTTGGAGGGTCAGTAAGTTTGGCCACTCCAGGTATATTCTGTCACACCTATCACCATCCATTCTGACCCGTAGAACGCAGGCCATAGGACTGCCCTGAATTAATTCCTGTTTGAACCTAGTGAAGATCTTTTAGAAAACTTCCCAACCTGGATTTAAAATTTTGAGGGTCAGGTTCATTGACCAGCTGCTTGGCAGAGTTGCACAGGCCTAGACTCAGAATGGTCTGAGATACAAGAGAAATCCCACAGTGTCTTTGACATTCTGCAGCCCAAAGAAGTGGATACAGCGGCCGTACCCATAAATGAGGGTACCGTAGACCCAGCAAAGGACCTTGGCTAACTCCTGCAGAAGGGCTGATGGCAGGTATTCAGTTCCGCAGAAAGGACTGCCCCCCATCATGGGATACAGACATCTGGCCAAGTCCAGGAAACATCTGAAGTTCCAGACAGTGACACGAACCTCCCTAATGCCCTCCTGAGATCCTCCTCAGTAGCTCGTCACTCTGGCCTTACAGGACTTCACAGTTCACCCAGCTTGCAGGGGGACCGTTGCTTCATAGTAAGGGGTGGACAATATCATTACCCAGTGCTACCATACAGCCTGTCCATGGTCCCAAGGGTCTTCACTGAATGCCTGCCTGTATGGGCATTCTGCTCAGGACCCTGGGAGTCTATGTATCCACGCTGGATGACTGACTGATTTAATGTAGATTGTCTCAGGAGGCCTTTCAGCTCTTACGGTGGTCAGCAAATTGATTCCCTGCCAGAATCCATGCTGGTGCCTAACCAAAGCCATGTGAGTTTATAAGGGCAGCCATGGACTCCAAACAAGCCAACACTCTCCTGCTATCCTGACCCTCTTCTGCGCGCTACAGAAGATCCGTGGCAGCCCTAGATAAGCCGCTATCATATTCCACCGCCAATTACTAAGTAGTGAGGGATATCTCCCACCTAACAAATCCCTTTAGAGTGATTTTGATCACCAAGGATCTTCTCTGAAGACAATGGATGTTTACATATATACATGAATTAATACTTGGAAAGCCCCAACAATCCACAGAGCTGCTTTAAGACTGCTGCGCTGTGATGAAACAGCATGGCTTTATACTGTGGTTTGTGATGTGATGGGGGGTGGGTGGGTTGAGCTTCATGACTCTGTAGCTGGCTGTGTCCTTGGTTTTGAGTGCTTGAGCTTGGAGCTGAACTGTGAGATAGTGGCCCCGTTTGCCAGGGAATGGACACAAGGGCTTTTAGAACCCAATGTTTTGTTTGGGGCTGTGTATCCAGGGTAGCCCCCTGAGCCTCCTTCAGTGCAAAGCCAGGCAGGCTGCCGCATTGTGCCGAGGAGTCTAATGCCTGGGAACCCCTGCTCACAGCCATGTGCCTCAGCTGAGTACCCACGGGCATATACTCCCTGCTGGGTGTCGGACCCTCCCTTGTCTGGCGAGCACATTGGTTAAAGTGTAAGCTGCTCTGCAGGGGGCTTGTGTCCAGCAATGTGCCCATGGGCCCTATGCTGCTGTGCGTGGTTGTAAAGCCACCGTGCAGGAACTGACCCACAAGGCAGCCAATGGGTTGCATCCAGGTGAGCCAGGTTAGCTCTGCTGGGAATAGCTGTGTGCTCATGGCAGGGCTGGAGAAAGGGCTTGAGTGTAGCTCCGATGAAGCTCGCCTTGTACTGGTCAGGGCAGCAGAGCTGGTTTTGGTCCCAAGACCGGGCCAACAAAGCTGAAACCAACCCCTACTGTGCAGCTCTGCAGTAGGAGGGGTAGCTATAGTGAGAGAGCTGTATCCAGCCCAGCATGGGGCCTTTGAGAAGGAACTGAGAGGACTGCACAGAAAGCCCTGCCCCAGCCCCATCGGCAATAGGAATGAACAGAACTGGCCTTACGGGGGAGCAGGGAGGGCAGATGTGTTGAGACTGTCCTGTGTTCTGCTTTGCAGTTACAATAGAGACTTTCTCCCTTCCAGAAATGCCAAGCAAATGCCAGCAGCAGTAGCAGAAGCTCTAAAATCCATGTTGCAGTTGGAAGGGGACCTGTCCCCTTCAGAAGCTGAGGAGTATCTAACAGCCTTGGAGAGATCCCATCGCTTCCAGATGGAAACCTGGTCGTAAGCCTGAAGCCGGGCCTGGGACTGCCTGCTCCTAGCCATTCCCCCACGCAGCCGAATACTTGTAGCTATGTGGGAGTGTCCAGGCACAGACAACATCCAATAAACCCGTCAGCACCTTGTATCAGCCTCACACTTCAGTCTGAGGGCATCTCAGCCGGCACAGTTGCCCTGCCGGTGCCAGGGTGTCGGTCCTGGATGTGGCTGGGTTTGTCCCCACACCAGCCCCTGCACCCATAGCAGCAACATCAGTGTCCCGCACGCTGCCCGTCCACCTGCGCACCTCACCCCTGGCCTGGAGGGGGTGCTCAGTCTCCTTGCCAAGCCATGGTGGTGCTTTGCCTGTCTAGGCCAAGGCCCCAGACTTCTCACGCTGGCCACAGAACAGCTGTTTGATGGACTCAAGCTGGTATCTGTGGAGTTGGAGGCCAAGGGGTGTTAGCGAGGGGCTGTGTAAATACGTGCTCTCTTCAAGAACAGGAAGTTTCTCTTTACCTGTCATCTTTCCTAGGCAGAGCTCAAAGCACTTTACAAAGTGCTGAGTCACGTTATTCCCATCTCTGGAGAGGAAACTGAGGCACAAAGAAAGGAAATGGCTTGCCCAAGGCTAAGTGAGTCCATGGCAGAATCATGAGTATACCCAGTCACCCGCCCATGTAAACAAAGCCATTTCCTCTCAGAGAGTCTGCCTCCTACTGCAGAATGGTGGGGTCATGCAGGGAAGATAGCGAGTCCTTGAATACTTGAACCAGGTGTCACTGACGCCAGTTCATGTTCCGGAGTCTGCCAGTAGTGTGAACGCATGACTCAGAGAAAAGTGAGCTTCCCCATTCCTCCAGAGCTGAGCCGACACCTGCTAAGGACAGTTTAAATGGGGCATTAGTAACTGGTTCCCTGCCCAGTCCCCAATGGCCTCCTGTATCACCTCTGAGCTAGCAGCCCAAGCAGCCAAACCTCCTCCCACGCAGTTCTGTGCCATGCAAGCAGCTGAAAGCGGGGCGGAGGGAGGGGGCTGCTGTCCAGTGGAGCTACAAACCCAGTGAATTTATGCAGGACCTGCACTTGGAATCTGGAGGGGTGTGGGGGCTGCGGTTTAGCTGGTCCAAGGGCCCAGTCCCAATCAAATGCAGCCGCACCTGGAAGGGAGGACTTCTCCAGGAGCCACATTCACTCTCAGCAACAGCTGTGTGGAGGGCTGCTGGTGAAGGTAGCCAGTGCTTTCACTGGACACTCATGCCCAACCCCTTCCTATGCTCCAGGGGTGCTGGCACACGGGTCCCTGCTGGCAGTGCAGGCAGAAAGCATTGAAAAGCAGAAAAGGGCCTGGAAGCAGCGTCTGCACATCCGTGCCTGTGCCCCACACACCTTCATGCTCTAGGACAAAGGGCCAGAGGGAGGGGTGCACGTACAACCACATGTCAGTTCCTTCCCATATGTCTCTGGCTCGAGGTGGAGCGTTACGGCACTGCTGGTTAGCTGCACAGCTCACTTTGATTCTTTTATTTCTGGACGTGTTTCTTCTTGTTTTGTTTGTTATTTAGCACAGACTTGTGTGTTCAGGGGCTCCCCGCTCCTTTCTTTGTAGTCAGGGCCTGCTTTGACCTCGGGTCCTATTTGTTGGTGGCCTTTCCCAGGTGGATTAGGCCAAAACCCCTGGGTTCAAACCCTGCCAGACCTATCACAGACCATTCTGGCTGCCTCCGCTACCTTGGAGAGCCCCACATCCCATCTAAGTATAGGGGCTGCTCCAGCTTAGAGAGCAGATCCAGGGAGCTGAGGGAAGACTTATGGAAGCCGCTCCTTATGGAGCATTTCCTGAGACCTGTGGGGTCTGATTTCCTCTCCCCTCCACCCCCGTACATCGGTGTAGCTGCTTGGGGAGCACTCCAGTGGCTGAAGAGCTCATGGTGCAGCTTAGTATACTTCGAAGCTTCAGAGGAGGAAAAGGCCCCATTCACCGGAAAGAGAGACTCAAAGGAAGGGAAAAGTCTCCTCTAAGGCCAGGGAGCAAGGAGGCCTCACATCCTGCTGTGGAGACTGCTGAGGCTTCTCCCAGCCATAGGACCAATAGGAATCCTCTGGCAAGCAGCCCCGGGATCACAGCCCTCCAAACATGGGGTCAGCTTAAAGGAAGCCTCTTAGACACATGCTCCGGTATCATCTTTCCCGGGTCACAGTCACAGAGAGCGCGCGAACCGTTCATCTGTACCATCTCCAGCACTGCTCAGCGTGCTTCACCCTCAGGAACAGGGTCCAAGTTCACCATTACCAACCAGGTTGCTCTCCCGTGAGGATCTCTGAGTCATGGAAGAATCCGAATCCCCTCTGCTGAGGGGTACCGACAAAGATTGCTTGCTGGCGTAGTAGGAAGAGGCCTGAAACACAAGCCCATGTATCAGAAACCTGGTATGAGGCCTGAGGCCTGGGCTAAAGTAGACAAAACTTTGCTGCTATAAAGCAAAGTTAAGTTGTGAGCAAGAGGCAGCCCTGCTCACAGCATCTGGCAAGAACAGGGCTAATATTGCAGAAACACACTCCTAAGTGGTGCTAGGCATAAGAATATAAACACAAGCACATTCCAGAAAGGTGGTACCAGAACACCTCGATGCCAAACACATTCCCCAAAGAGAACAGGAACACACTGACCCATCCTAAAGATAAGGTCAGGGTGACAGTGTGATGGATAGAGATGCACAAGGTGATGGGAGGTAACTGGCTACGTCAGAGGGTGTCAACTAACTACATCAGAGGAGCAGTGTGTAACTCGTTTGTACTGATGTATAAAAGATATCTCAGAGGGAGAAGCAGGTCTTTGGCTGGCCTGGGGATAATGGAAAGTCCCACCATTAACTGAGCCACTCCATTGCAACGGGCATACATGTGTTAGTGTACCTGTAACCATTGAGCCTGTGCTTCGTTGACAATAAACCTGACCAAGTGCCTTCACTATGAACCAAGTTTGTGGATTTACTGGACCGTTCAATCGGAGCCTGCTGTACGGGCTGTCTGGCCAGAGTCAGTACAGCATGCAGAAAGAACACATGCAGCTGAACATCTGATGATAGCTGGTACCAACACCTGCCCTCAAAACAGAGTCCCCAGTGATGCTACGAAGACTCAACCACCAGTACCAACGCGGCCCCCAGTACCAACACCAGTGGCTTTCCTCTGGATATGGGAGATGACACCACTTGGACTTGGGAATTTCTGTCCAAGACTCCACCACTTTCCCATTCCAGCCTCTCTCCCTAGAGGTATAGTCTGAGGAGGAGACCTCAGGACCCAGCCAATGTCTTACCCATCAACCTTGGTAGGAACACCCTTGGGATTCCACTCCTTTCCTCTGTGCTCCACCACTGTGGGCTTTTTGGAACCCTTGGGACCCTTATGGTGACCAATTTTATAGGTGTCCTCACACAAGAGGACCCACCAAAATCAGCAGCTACTGGTACCTCAGTACCCTCCTCCCGAGAACACCCCCGAGAGGAGCAGGAGGTAAGAGCGAGATGCAGCTATCTAACAAATTCTCTTCCTCACCTGATGAGGCCCCCACCCTATGCAGAGGATTTCAAGGCCTTTCAAGAGCTGATAAAAGAATATCAGAAGCCTGGCCAATCCCTTCGGAGGAAATACAAGAAATACAATACTCCCTGGTTGAGTATTTTACATACCTCTTCCCAAGGCAAGATTGCCTTGCTCATTAATGGCGCATTACTCTCACCAGCCCGTATGGTATAGCATATACCAGCTACCATACTACCCACATGCCAAAAGGCAGACAAAAAAAAATATGTACCCATCCCACCCCTAACTCCCTGGTAGCCAACACTCTCAATGAAACAAATGGACAGTGTCAATCCAGATCAACTCCCTCCAATAAAGAACTCAAGTTTTTGGGCCTTCTTGGCTGCAAGAGCCATTCCTCAGCTGCTCTCCAGTTCAGAGCTGCCAACTATCCTGCCTTGATGGGAAAATGTGACTTTCCAAATGACAGCGAGTTGTCACTTTGGAGTGATCATTTGCCTCAGGCCCAAAGGGATCCATTTCAGACGATCGTCACAGAAGGCCCGATAATCACTAAAGCTTCCTTACAGGCTTCTCTCGATGTAACAGGCACAGTCTCACACCTTTGTCACGCCTCAAGCCTTCTGGCTGCAAGCTTTCCAGGGAGATGCAAAATACCATGGAGGACCTTCCTTTCGAAGGGCCAAGCTCTTCAGTGATGACCCCGATGAATCCTCCCACTCACCTGGGGATTCTAGAGTGTCTCTGCGAGCCCTCCGTGCATACACCCCTGAAAAAAAAAATCATGCATCACCCCCTACTCTGGGCCTTATGCTGCTCCAAGCCACCTTCCATCGACCCTATGGAAACCATCTCTCCCACTTCCTACCTTCTTGGGATCTCATCATTTCAGATAGAGGGATTCAAGAAGTGGTTTCAACAGGATAGTCCATCCAGTTCAGCTCCACCCACCCGTCCACTCCTCATCCCTGTCCCTCTTCAGGGACCCTTTGTGACCAACTGGGAATTTCGTGTAATACTTTTATGACTCCCATGTATGCCTCAATTTCCCCCATATGCTATGTTGTTACCCGGTGGGTGGAAATGGATTGTTTGCTCCTAGGGCAGGCTTAGAGACAATGGTATGAATGTCATCTGGCTGTCTGAGCTGGGATGGGTCATTGAAAAGGACTAGCTGAGGCCAGCCCCATATCAGTGCAGAATCTGAAAACACAAAGGCAAATCCAGTCACCAGGACATTGACACCTAGCAACCAAGGCCCCAGAGGGCGATGGATTTCCGCATCTCTCAGCTGGGAAGCTGAGCAGTGCCCCAGCTCAAGAACAAAGGATTAGGGAGATGTGAGGTGGGGGATAAGAGTTGGCTGCTGGAAGGAGTCTCTCTCACCTGGTAACTGGCAAAGGAGGTCAGACTGAGAGAGACAGAGTGGGGTTCACTACAGCTTGGCTGGGCTCTGGACTAGTTAGAATGTTCTGTGCTTTAACCTTCAGTTCTCTCTGCCAACCTAAGAATATCCCATGCTGTGTTCCAGTTGACTAATAAAACCCAAGTGTTTTGACAACACTGTGTGAGTGTCACTGCCAATGCTTGGGGAGGT